TTGAACCCGTAGTGGTTCATACTAATTTCGAAAATCCGGTAAGTAGGTAACAACTTTTAACTTATTTATTTGTAGTCGTAATATTGAAATTTAATATTAAAAATTAATTACTGTCAAGATTTTTATCAAAAATAAAATATTTAGGAACTTAAAATAGACTTTTTCTCATATTATAAATTTAAGAATTTTTAAACCAGAAATGGCTTAGTACCCACAGCGACCAGGACAGAGAAGAATATGCAAGATTAAATAGAATGGTTAAACGCGAAGTATCTAGAAACAAAAACAAAATGTGGAAAACCAAATGTGAGAGAGTGGAAACATATATGGGAGATACAAGAGACGGAAATCAAAACAGTAAATTAGAACTTATAAGCATGGAAAAGTGGGAAGACCATTACAAACAGTTACTGACAGAAAACAGGATAGCATTCAAACTAGAAGTGCCAGATTTGAAAAACGCAAAAAATATAGATGGTAATGAAATAAGTGTAAACGAGATAAAGAAAGCATTGAAGAACTCAAAAAATGGAAAAGCTGCAGGGCCGGGAAACATTTTCATTGAGCTAATAAAGCAGGGACCCGAAATATTATTGGAAATACTAGCTGATATCTTCAACAGATGCCTAATAATAAACGACAACATTCCTGAAGACTGGAATCTGGCGTACATCAGCTCTATTTTTAAGAAAGGAGACAAAAAAAGATGTAGCAACTACAGAGGCATTAGTTTGACAAGCTCAATGGGAAGGTTGTATGGCAGGATATTAAAAGAGAGAGTAGAAGAGAGCTTTGAAGAAATAGAAGAACAAGGTGGTTTCCGCGCTGGGCGTTCTTGTACAGACAACATATTTGTGTTACAACAAATAATTGAAAAAAGGAGAGCTCGAAATTTGGACACGCATCTGGTATTTATAGATTTAGAGAAAGCCTATGACACGGTGCCTTTGAAGAAATTATTTGAAATCTTGGTTGAGGCAAATGTGAGTAAAACATATATTAATGCAATCTGGAATATGTACAAAAATTCAAAAAGTATGATCAGACAGGGGAAGTTCCTATCGGAATCCTTCCTGACATCTAAAGGACTTAGACAGGGGTGCAGTTTATCACCTACCTTATTTAAAATATATATACAGGAGGCATTGAAAAACTGGAGAAGGAAGAGTAGAGCTATGGGAATAGAGATTGACAACCACTGTCTATCGACCTTGTTCTTTGCAGACGACCAAGTTATTGTTGCAGGTTGTGAGGAGGATGCCGACTATATGTTGAGGAAACTTGAAGAAGAATACGACAGATGGGGACTCAATATCAACCTCACAAAAACCGAATACCTGAAAGTAGGAGAAGAACAAACTGAAGATCCTGAACTACACATACATGAAATTAAAAGGTGTAGCGAATATAAATATTTAGGAAGTATTATATCTGAAGAAGGGAACTCCAAGAAAGATATACATAGTAGAGTTCAACAAGGTAAGAAAGTAATCGGTCTTTTAAACCCTCTCATCCATCCAAACAAAGATAAGGATTTACAAAGCAATCGTAGATCCAATTTTAACATACGGTGCCGAATGCTGGCAATTTACAGCAAAAGAAAGTCGAGTCGGTGGAGATGGACTTTCTCAGGAGAGCATGTCGAATATCAAGGATGGAGCACATTAGAAATGAGGAGATCAGGCAAAGAACAAGTTGGTTTGACCATCCAATCTTAAAAATAAAGAAGTTGTCTAAAAATGTGCTACAATACGGATATAGTATAATCCTTTATCTTTAATTTCCTTCCTCATTTGTGTAAAAATACCTGGCCAGTTTTATATAAAAAAAGTTAAATGTCGAATTTTATTTTGCTACTGTTTCGGAATAGTGAAATGGACTCTTAAGTAAATAACTTTATTTTATATGGATAGTACTGGAATAAATGGACTTCCAATATTCGAGATATAGTGGACGTCTCCAAAAAATGTTGATTGTAATTTCAGTGGCTACTGTGACGTCGTTTTTTTTTCTCGATAGTAAACTACATATTTGTCGTCGCATGTTTCGAGGACTGTGCAATGTTAACTCGATAACGGCGATAGTGGAAACACTGTTTACTTGCCGGTAATGGAATTAGGGTGGGACTATATACGTGCTTGTATGTGTTTAGTGGAAATACCGTAACCACGGCCAGGGTGTATAACGGCTGTGTAGAAACAAGCCCGAATTTCCAATAAAATTGAATTACAAATAGAGCTAGAGAGTGTTAGAGCTTGTTGCTTTGAGCGGCAACTCGTTTGTGCTCACCTAAAATTTTGTCAAATTTTGTCTGAAAATTTTGTAATTTTTATTCACGGGCTTGAAAGTTATAAAATCACTAATAAATATATAAATGCCTTTATTGCAAACATTTTTTCAATTTGTAGACAAAGGTAACTAAACAAACAAAGTAAACAAACAAGGTACACAAACAAACAAACAAAAGATAATACAAAACATTATACAAATAATATTGTCAGTCTTATTGTTTAAAATAAACATTTATAAATGTTTACAATGTCAAAGAATAAAAAAATAAAAATAATATTCAAAAATACTAACTTAGTTTATAGTAAATATTAATGTCCTCTAAATAAATTTATTTCGATGTCATTACTAAATATAGCAATGGCAAACATTAGACCAGTGTTTACAAGATCAAATTCGATTATCAAAATATAATTCATTTACGGCGTAGAAAGCCTTGTCTAGTAAATAAGAGTTCAATGCTTTGCGAAATGAAGAAAATGATGTTATGGATTTGATTTCAAATGGCAGGTGATTTGGTTTGGTTTTAAATTTTTAGGTAGATAAAGATCTTGCTCCGCGTTCCTGAGTGGATAAGTGTGAGATGGCCTTTCTTGAGAAGCTGATACATGCTTACGTATTAGAAGAATATATAAACAAGGGTATTAGGCAAACGAATTCAAATATAAATAAGGAAGGAAGAGTTAATATTTTTAATTTTTTTAAAAAGTCCTGGCAATGAGATATGGTGTTTAGTCCCAGTGCATCCCCACAGCTCTCTTCTGGAGCTTGAAAATGCGGTCAAATTGAGTCGCACAACACGTACCCTAGAATGGAAGGGCATACCTGAGGTGCGACTCAAAATGTGCATAATAAACAGTTCTAGCCACTGACAAGTTAAGCTCCTTAGAAACAGATCTTAATGCAAAACAGGCAGAGCTCAGTTTTTTCGACAAAGCTTCGATATACATGTCCCATTTCAGATAATTGTCTACAACAAGCCCTAAGAATTTTACAGATTTTACGACGTCAGTGGTGGTGTTGTTAAGTACAAAAGGCTGCAGCGAGTTTTTATACGACAAAGCTTTAGTTTTAGAAATGTTGAGACTCAGGAGGTTCGAATCGCACCAAGATTAAATTAATGGTGATTAAGTCATTTGATATAATCCTATGAAGTGCCGTGACGTCCTTGTTGCTCCAAGTGAAGCTAGTGTCGTCCGCAAAAAGACATATTTTGCCACTGATGTTTATGTTAGCAATGTCGTTAATAAAAAGAAGAAACAAAATAGGGTCTAGTACTGAGCCTTGTGGTACTCCACATCCTATTGGCTTTCTAGAAGATAACGTGGTATCCACCCTCACAAGTTGCCTTCTGTTGCTCAGATACGACTTAAACCATTCGAGAGATGTTCCCCTGAACCCATAGTGCTGCAGTTTATTAATTAGGATCTTATGATTAACAAAATAGAACGCCTTAGAAAAATCACAGAAAATTGTTGCTGTAGAATGATGGTTATTTATATTATAATGTCGTTACTAAAAAATAGGGGCTGATGGTACAAGTGTGAAAATTTAGGGTTGCATGTATTTTTTAAAATAAAAATAAAAAATTTTGTCCAAAAAATAAAAAAAATGGGGTGGGCCACCCTTATCACTTAGGGGTATGAAAAATAGATAAACTATTCTCAAACCTACTGAATGTACATATAAAATTTCAACAAAATCGGTTAAGCCGTTTCGGAGTGGGACCTATGGTAACTAAAACTGGTGACACAAGAATTTTATAATGCATTAGATACGTAAAATATCAATATGCGTAGTTTTCATCTTCAGTCGCTCATCACTTCGACACACCTACTAAAAAAACCAACGCAAATAAACGCAACCTAAAACAATGAAAATAAATATTTAAAAAAAAGTCTTACTTTAATAAGAAGGAATTCTTGAAGTGCTTTCGTGAGAAAATCCCCCAAGTTTTGCCTGGTAAAATGCTAGACTTCTTTGGCTTAAAACCTATATTCTGGCGTTTTAAAAAAGCGACGAGTTTGTGATATTTTGATATGTCAGTCTTTTCACTTAATTCTAGCATTGTCCGTATCATGCTGTACGTAGCTCAAAGAGTAGATGGCTTTTTCTGCCTTGCCATGTCGCTAAAGTATACCATCAAGACTGTCCCCGAAGCAATATTCTTAGCATTTCTTTCGACACACCATTTTTCGTATACTTTCAATGCTATTTCACATCGCCTCCTACTTTTCTCTGGAAGTAAACTGGCTTCTGCCTTTTTTGCAGCTTCTGTAAGTTCTGGTGGAGTACCAATATTAAAGTAGTCTTTATTATCAGAACTTTCCGACAACATTCTGGCTTTCTATGTTATATAAATTGGAAAAAGCGAACGAGAAATTCAAAACTATCACTTTAGTTGTTTGTTTTGCTGTTGAAGGTTTGCGCCACAACAACCACTGGTACCGGTAACTATAGATATGGAAATGCCAAAACAGAAAACGACAAATTTTCGTATTTTTTTTCAAAATAAAATACTGTCCCTATTTTTTAATTAATGATGTGGTTGTAAATAAAATAATATACAAACCTCGGAGGAAAGTTTTCATTATTTTCTCGAGATTTAGTTAATCTCTCGACAGTAAAGAAACACTTCCCTCCTCCACCAGAAAACCACCTAAAAAAACACCAGAATAATAGGTTTTATTTAAATAAAAATCCTCTTCTAGCAAACTTCTGGAAGCGTTAGAATACTACGAAGGTCCGACTCTGGAATAATGGCACATGAGGAACTACCCGGAAGATCAGATTCTATCAGTACCGAGTGTTCAGCTTCTCCTCCAGAACCTCCAGGAAGCAGCCATAGCGAATCGTCCAGTGGCGTCCACTCTAATGACAGTACTGATCCGCCATCCGTCATTAAACAGGTACTCCTTTTTTTTCTTTTTTTTTAAGTTTAAGATGTTTTCAGTACCTATAATCAAAAAGTATAAACGATAATGCAGGTCCGTATTTAAAAAAATTAAGTCGGCCTTTGTATCTCACAAATTATTAGCTGATTTGAAAATCTAAAGATACTATCAGATAGTCCTAATAAAGTGACTATGAGAATGTGCAATTAGTTTTTTTGATTTTCTAAAAAGTAACGACAGGAAAAAATAAAATTTATTTTCAAAAAAATCCGTTTTTTTTTTCAAAAAACTCTTTTTGATGACATCTTGCCCTAATTTAACCATCTTATCAAATCAATTTTCTCAAATCTTATCACCTATAATCAAAAAGTATAAGCGATACCAAGTAAACTTTTAGTTACGTAATCGAGGGAGCAATTTTTAAATTCATTGTTCGACATATTCGGCGCCGTGCTGACTAACTGGAATTTAAAATTCCTGCTGGGGATCCAGGCGGTAGCTCTTTAGCTCTTAGCCACATTTATTTATTTATTTCCTGACACTGTCATTCGTTTTGACACTTTAGTTTTGTATTACGAGTTTTTGGTTTAAACGAATTATGTTGTGATCTTCTTCTTCGGGTTCCATCTCCTAATGGAGGTTGGAAATCATCATGGCAATTCAAACTTTGTTAACGGCTGCTCTGAATAACTGGTTTGAAGTCATTCCAAACCATTCTCTCAAATTCTTGAGCCATGATGTTCTCCTTCTGCCCTTTATCTTTCCTTCTATTATGTTCTGCAGCAGGACATATTTAGGTCCTCTCATTATATGTCCAAAGTACTCAACTTTTCTCTTTTTAAGGGTGTTAATCACCTCTTCGTCTTCTTCTGAATTCTGCGTCGCAGTTCTACATTTGTAACCTTATCAGTCCATGCAATCCTCAGCATACGCCGATAACACCATCTCTTGAATGCCTCAAGCTTCTTCATTTCGGCCTTTTTAAGTGTCCAAGCCTCTGAACCATAGAGTAGAGTTGCAAATATGTAACCCCTTAAAATTAATCTAAGCTTTAAGTTGATGTCTCCACTGCAGAGACATTTTTTGAGTTTTACAAAGGCTGCTCTGGCTATTTCTATTCGAGCTTTTATTTCTGCTGATTGATCCAAGTTTTCGGTCAACCAACTGCCTAGATATTTATATTTTTGTACTCTCTCCATAGGTGTATCATCTATTAGAACATTGGCTTGGACATCATCTCTCTTAGTGATTATCATAAATTTAGTTTTCTTAGGGTTCATTTTCAGGCCGTAGACTCTACAAGTGTTGTTTAGTCTTTGTTGAAGTGTTTGCAGACCCTCCACGTTGTCTGCTATAAGGACGGTATCGTCCGCGAACCGCATATTATTTAAGACCTGCCCATTAATAGTGATGCCCTCCTTTCTACTAATCAAGGCCTCCCGAAAAATTCATTCGCTATATACAGGCTTGTTCACCACATACGACCCGGAGTATTGTAGCTAAACGATTAGATTTTTAAAAATTGTAAGTTTTGGGTTCGTTGAAGGTCTATTAGAGCTACAATTTAAAAATATTTTTACAAGATACAGGGTGTCCCAAATAAGTAAAAAATATTATAGTTGTATTTTTTTAACATGGAACACCTTGTATATTATTCTATTTTTGGATTCTACGATTGAAATAAAGGTAAATTTGATTAAGGTTTAACACACTTTACTTCAATTCACTTCAATTCACTTCAATTTTATGAAACTCCAGTAAAAATTTTAAGGTTTTATTTCTCCCAGGGTATCAAGGTTTTTAATACTAAATTTTTACTGAAGATTATTTATTGATCAGATATTGTGTTTCAATAATAAAAATTTTACTATCTTATACAGAGTGTCCAAAAATTTATATTAAATAATTACTAGCTTTAAACGGCAATAACTTGTTTAACTTAAATGGAACACCCTATATATTTTACGTGAATCAGATGTACAATGTAATTGTCTATCAAATTTTATTGTTCCATTTTTTACCCATCTCTTCAAGTTTTCATAGAAAATGCATTTTCTTATAACTTAGACCTCATTTATCACTATACCCATGGAATATTGACATTTTAGCTTATTTTTAAATATGTAAATATGTTTTTAAAACTTTTTTGATGGCATCTTGGTCAACATTCCAAGGCGGCAACTTTGCCCTAATTTAACCATCTTCGTATCTACTACGGTTTCCGAGATACCAATGCTCGTACCTCGAATTTGTATCACCCTGTATATATTTTTTTCCAGCCTCTGACTAAAATTGACTGGAAATCAAGTGACACCGATAACTGTCAGGCAGCCAACCTGATAAACCTCGACGTGGAGTCGCAGCAGCCCGAGAGCACGGTTGTTATCAGACGAAAATCCATTAGGCCCAATCCGAACGAGGGGGTAAGTCGATCCGTTAATCAATGTAGACAGGGCCTTAGCTCTAATTTAACTTCGGTCTGTCATTATTAATCTTGTGACAATGACTTAGCACGAGAGCATTGAATAGAAAGACTTCAGGATGAAGTTAAAATTGATTTTACAGGTTATATACTATTTAAATAAACGAAAGATACCACTCGGCAATATACAGGGTGGTCCGAACTGTATTCCGGAAACTTTAATAGCATATTCTGCACATAAAAATAAGTAAAAAAGTTCGTATAAATGTATGTTCTAAAATGCTTAGTTTCGGAGATACAGGGTGTAGAAGTTTCACTTTTATTTCGATTTTTTCCAAATAATTTCTGAAGTAACATCAATATTTGGATGAAAATTGGTGTCTGGAAGTTTTTTGATATGAGGAATTTGATTTTGATGTCAATATAACTCCTATCTATAGGGGGTGCCACCTACATGTGTTTTAACTGTTTTGAAAAGTAATAACTTTTCGTCCATATCTGTATAAAACTACTGGGTGAAAAAATATACTATATTTCCGTGATTTTTTACGTAAAAAATGTCTCTTGGTAAAAATCGCTAGGAGCAACCGTTTTCAACATATCTAGAATTAAAATAGTAATATTATAAAATAGTACACGAAAAGTTGTTACTCTTCAAAAAAGTAAAAAAATATGTAGGTGGCGCCCTCTACAAGTAGGAGTCATATTGAATCAAAATCAAATTTCTTTGGTCAAAAAACTCCCAGATACCAATTTTCATTTAAATATTGACGTTACTTCAGAAATTACTTGGAAAAAATCGATATAAAAATGAAACTTCTACACCCTGTATCTCTGAAACTAAGCATTTTGAAACATACATTTATATGAACTTTTTTTCCTATTTTTATCTGCAGAATATGCTGCCGAAGTTTCCGGAATACAGTTCGGACCACCCTGTATAGTGACCTTTTTGTGAAAAGTTTTTGCATTAATTTTCATGAAAAAAAAAATTAAAAAAAATCATCAAACAAGAAATAATACAAGATAATCACAGAAAAGTATAACAAAGTTATAAAAATTTAAATTTGTGAAAAGAAATGTTTCAAAATAGCAACAGTCATGTACCATATGATCGAAAAAAAATTGGCTTCCAGTTGGCTTGGAAATGAACATCGATGACATCCCAGTATAACTTTACATTTAAAATGACACCTATCTTCATTTCATAGCCATCGCTGACACCATTTCTTTTTTGATCACATATATATTTCGAATATTGCCTTTATCTCATATGACGTTTTGTTTACAGGTTCCAGATGCCATACTGAAAGAAGACCCTTATGGAAGAGCTACAAATATGCGTATGACTTCGTTCACTGACCACAAAGGCATACAGTCGTCTTCGGCGACGTTGCCACATTATCCTACGCAACCGAGCATTCAAAATGCTTATCCGAACTGTTCAACTATGCCACTGCCACAGCATACCTCAGGAAACATACCACAGCCAATGACGAATGGAAACAGGTAACCATACCACCAGATTTATGATTTGAAATGTAAAAATAAATATTTTTTTTGGGGCATTTTTTTTCATTGAATTATAAGCTTATATCGTCTTGTGCTAACAAGCTAACCATAAGTAAATTCATAGCTCTGCCATAATTCTCTCAACCTTTTATAGGTAACAACCAAAGGTAACAACCATACGATACAAAAGAAATTTTTACATCATTAATCATTAATGTCTCATATAATAAATTTACAAGAGAACAATTATATTATATTATAATATATTATATACTTATTAAACACACCTGGTATTGAAATTCTTAATTCTTTCTTCCAGCTGTAATATTTATACAAATCGGCAACATTCCACAATACCAACTCACCTAAATGGAGTAAAAATAGTGACCAGCAATCACAACCCTTATTCCAGAATTCGCCAAAGTGGTGAACCCATCTCTGCCAAACTAGAACCTATTTACACTAAAATCAACAGGAATACCAACGAGATCTGCCACTACAGTACTACCAACTCTTAAACCAAAAGATTTAGGGTGGTAAACATGTCGTAGTAAGTCCAAAAAAATGTATAGTTTGAAATTTAAATAAAAACGGCGTCACAGTAGGCATAGAGATAATAACTTAGTTAGTACTCTATTCACACTGTGTTTTTTTGTTTGGTAGAAAGATTTATATAGAAAAATTTGGTCAATTGTCAAAAATTTCAAACAAAATCGAATCCATTTTGGGTAATGACGTAAAAAAAACGATACCATACGTCATTTTTAGCTAAATCATCACTAAATAATAATGATAATAACATTGAAAGTATTATTTATACCAAAGACTACATATAATTATAGGCAAATATATCCAAAAACTTTAAGAAAACCCTTATATAATATGTAAATAATACTATATCGCAATTCTCTATCTCCAATCGATGTGTTTTAGTTCTTAAATCTTATACAGGGTGATATAAAAATTTGTTGTCCATTTTTTGAAACACTCTGTATATTCTAGAATACCTTTACTACCTTTCTCAAATCACTTTATCTTAAAGTATATCACAATATCAACTTATTATTATTAAATTATTTAAATATAATTATATACAAACAAGGCCTATACTACTGTCTACACAGCGTGACAGAACATATATCTGTCAAAAAACGTGGCCATACTATTTTTTCCTTCACTTCTGAACTTTTAACGACAAACCGGCAACGTTTTTATAGTAGAATTCTACACAGTTGCCATATCGGTTTCCTTATCCTAACTCAGTCTGACAATACTTTTTCTATCTTCAATTTGCGTCAAACTAAGGTAGCTAGATTCTTCTTATAGTCAGCCATAGATCACAATATGTTCTTTAAAACAAAAGTTAAAAAAAACGAAATGGTTGCCAGATACAAATAAATTATGAGTAATTTCATAAAAAATTTCAAAAAAAAACCTATGGCTGACTTACCTTACCTTTTTCTCAACAACTTTAGTATACAGGGTACTTAGAAAGACTCCTATATATCTGGCAGCACAATTCCACAAAGCCTATTGACATTATATACTGACAAACCGAAATATAACTACGCACAATACAATTAAAGTTTTTTTTTTCAAATACCCTGTATATTTTAGCGTACTAAAAAAATAAATATGAATGAAATTGATGACAAATAATTATTTCAAGTATTTAAGCGTATATAAGATATACATGTATACAGGTTTATGTGTATTCGTCGATATACTGGATTTTTATATTTTGTAATTTTAATGTTAACATCTCAAAAAAAAATAACTCAAATGTCATTGTGTGAGAGACAAAAAAAGTAAATTTAAGAAAACAAAAATGATGATAATAATATCTGTACTATGTCATATCATCTTTGTCGTAGAATTAAAAAAATAGACATATAGAGCAAAAAAACAAGATCAAATACATTTCAAACATCATCACTAGTGATAGGAGAATCATGCAACAATAACTAATAATAATTATAACTAATAATAATAATAATATCATCCTTAGCTTTTGTATGGACCGTATTATTTGTAATAATATTTATACAACATATTTGTAACCTTACATGTGATGCTCACCCCTATCTGTATTTGTACGATGACATATTTGACGTTTTGTGCTGTCAAACTGTCAATCAACCTAGTCACTATTGTACGAAAAATAATTTACTACACGATAAATACTTATAAACATATGTAAGTTTGAATGAATCTTGAATTATCTAGAAAATTCAAAGTAAATAGAAAAAGAATGACATATCTGTGTATTGACAGCACAAGATCAGTAGCAAAAACACTACTTAAAAAGTATCCGTAAATGTTATAGATTAGTGACAATATATTTTTTCAAATTTAATGTCTTTCTTGAGTAATTGTCAATTGATTATGTTGAAAATGTATGATAGTGCAGAAATTTAAACAAGTAAAAAACAGCTGCTTTTTGACATGTTTTACTTATCCGTTTTTAATTCATGGCCATTTTCAATTTAATGTCCTGTATACATCATTTATTTTGGACCATACAAAAATTATAGGCAAAATAAATAAAATAATACCAAAATTACTCCTTGTAACTGAAATTCATACTTTTGCAGTAAATCCTTGAGTTTAAATAGTTCGTAACATAAAAATTATTATACTTACAATATGTAAAACAAAACTAATTAATTATTCTGGGGGCTGGCAAAGGTTAGTCTTGGGTCGAGATTTCCGTATGTAAGAAGAGTACAATGGCGTTTATAATGTACTGAACAAAGAGAGGACAGTAAACACGTTGCCAAACGTATGAAATAAACCGAGAAACTGTGCGCATCGGTAAGAGACGTGGAAGGGGATATAGCAGATTTGTCGCGGTTGACCGGTTGACCCAATCAATACCTCTGTCAGTACTTAAAGTTCTAGGGAAAAGTGTACGTCATGCGTTCAGCTTCACGATTTAATTACGTCTCGTGATACTTAATTTGTTTATTTATTAACGAGTCGTTGTAATTTTCTCTAAAGCTTGAATTTTTTTAAGTGCAAAATAGAAACACTTGCATTTTTGGTAAAAATAAGTGGAATTGAGTGGGTGTTCGATAGTGGTCGCGCTATTAGAACTCTGAATTCAAAAATCGATATCTCGAAATCTATTAGAAATAATAGATTGTAGTTTTTTCAAGAGCTTCGTTAATATTTCTGCTGTATTTTCTTTGTAGACAATATGTGAAAATCTTTATCAATAAAAAATTACACGATTGCTGAAAATTGCTACGCTCTAAAAGTAAATGGATAGATCGTTTACAATTTTTGAATGGAAAAAACAACCTTATCGAATTTTTCTTATGTAAACATATTGTAAAATATCCGATCTTGAAAATAAAAAAAAATCAATATCTAAAGTGGTTCTTGAATTATGGCCTGTTATGTGTTAAAAAGTTGAATTTTTAAATTATCGCGATTACTGACGTTTTCTCGTTATAAAAAAATGACACCCTAACGATATCCTTATAATTCCATTTCAGATGCTCAGAAACATGTCTAATGATTTTATCTAGTTATTTCTTGAAAAAAAAGTCTGTTAAAAATAAACGGTTTGCGATCGTGATTTTACTTTACTTGATAGGGAAAGGCGTACCGGCAACGCCGCAATAGCACACCGTCGCATTTCTCTCACTCCGACTTAATAAGATCCCTATACGATTTACTTCCACACATGTAAATGCCGACCCAAAAGTAACAGTGGCCAGCACGGTATACATAACAATTAATACAATCAAACTAAGCTTTTGTTTAATTTTCTGCACTATAAACAGAAACAAAATAAAAACTACACAGGTTGAATTCATGCTATATCGGTGGTTGTGAACTGAAACTAATTTAGTCATATTAAAAACACACACAAAAAGGTTGTAACTCTCTAAATTGTTTAAAAAAAGTTCTTTGATTCTTTTAGAACTCACTTCGATCGCAATACTGACTGTCAGATAGTAAAAGTATACCTTAAATAAATTTTGACAAGTGTCAAAGTGCATGGGCAATATTTTATTGTATGACAGTCAACTAAAACATAGTTTCTACTTAGTAATAATAATTTAGTTGTGTTCCTTAATTTGTTGAATAAGATATATGTATATTTTTTCTTTGTTAAAAACAATTTTCTTTCAATTCGTATAGCGTAGAGTATAAATTTATTCAGGATATGTTATTTTAACGTGTATTTTATAGCCTTATTCCATGAGTGTTGTCAATTTCTTATACTTGAACATTTTAATGAAAAATTTAATAAGTAATATCTAGGTGGTATTTTATTGTAGTGTATAAAACAATATTTTCTCCATAGCGAGTCCTTTTTAAAAAATATTCAGAAATTATTATTTCAAGGAATTTATTACGTGTAGAAAAAATATTGCGCTGGGTTGGCGTTGGTTTCTATGTAATTTGACAAATAAATAAAGCTGTCTCTTTAGTTGTCAGTTTTGAGTCAATATTTTTTAATTCTCTTTCGCGTCGATTGCTGATTGAATTGGAGCCAGAAATGGCTCAAAACGAAATAAATAAATTACCAACAGATATTCAGGCTGAGACGACAAACGCCATATCCAAACTACATCCATTTAAATCCCGAATAACTTATGAAAAGGAATAGAAAAATTTTCAAAAATGGAAGCAATTCAAAAACGTGCGAGAAGAAATAAAGTTTTTAACCTATCCTCGCTGTTAAAGTACTATTTTATCTACTATTTCTGATAGATATAAGGCAATTTTAACAGTTGCTATGGAAAAAAATAAACTTTATATTGAAAAAATAACACGTCAAAAATGCTATGATAGATACCCAACAGCAGTATTATAAAGTATGTTTCAATTTCATTGCTGTACGAATTGAGAAGAAAATTGTACCTATTGTATATGTTTTCTATACTATGTATAATGTTACCTTGAACGTACTTCCTATTAGTTAAAACAATTTAAACTGAATATTAATATATTAAAATATACTTATATGAACCTCGTTCCCTTCCAGCTTGTTATGAGAAAAAAAGAAGATATCTGTATTTTTGATTTTTTATAATAAAAATTTATTATACTGTCATCGTATAGTAGATTAAATTATCAAATAGTGAAACAAATATTGTATTTACTACTCACTTTGGTTGTGTATGAAAAAGAATAATCTAAATATGTATAAGGGTCATTCCATGAAAAAAAATCATCAAATAGTGAAAATCTACAGTATAAAGTTACAAAATAACTTTTAAAACGCTAAAACGGTAATGAAATTACTATAAAATTATTAAAACGATTATAAAACATTTATAAAACCATTTAGAGGTGTTTATAAAGCCAGCTCTACACGTAACGTTTTTTCTGTCGGTTTTGAGCGTCATGAGCGTTTATTTGGTATGATCTATATATCTATTTTTTTTTGTAAAATTACGTTATTTTTTTCAGTTTAGGCAAAACGACAGTTTTGTTGTAACAACACCTGTTTTACTTGTTTTATGCTTTGAATAAGAAGACTAAGGAAGGAGCATAATGCTATCCATGTATTCATGCATGGTGGGCGGAAAAAGGACTCTAGGGTGGGGATCCTTGACAGTTCTGTTCATGTTCTGTTTGACGATTCATTTGACACATTTGAATTTGATTTGAAATTTTGTGGATTTGTCAGTCTTTACGGAGCTTATTTTATGTTATTTATTATTTATTCTACTACTAATAGTTGTATAAAGGTATTAAATCTAGATGGAAATTGTGACAGAACTTAAATTAACAGTGACACGATCGCGATTTATCGAAAAAGACTCTAAAATAGTTGGTTGTGTAGCGTGCGGTAGATCTCGGCAAAAATCGAAAGAAATAATGGAACAACTTTTCGCTAGTAAGTGACTATATAATATACATACGTGTAGTAAACCGATCATTTATGAAATTCACTTAAATTAACTAATTATATATTTTTTCTTGCATTTTTGCTTTTATTTACTACTTGTCAAAGATTAGATATCAAAGAATTTAGATACGTCAATTTGACTTACCTGCTTCAGTAGCGTATCGGATGTTTATGGTTATAAATAATTATTATAACTTATCTATTTTTATTAGAATTTTATATTTTTATAACAATTTTAATAACTACCAACATTTATTCACAACGTAAAATAAAAAAAAATATTGAGTCTACCCCACGTCTACCCTACATCATAGTTTTACATTTTTTAAATAAAATTAGAACGGCACTGATAAACCGGAATTTAAGTCGGCCATATTTGAGGCCCATCGCGGTGGACCTAAGATTTTTGATATGCTCCTTCCTTAGTCTTCTTATTCAAAGGTTTTATGATAGTTAGACTGTCAATTTTCATAGAATGACCTTATTGTCTATTTAATAATTAAGTAAGTCACTTGTTCAAAGACTGATTTAAGAGTTTTATTTGAAATATTGATGTACTTCAGTCAGTATAGTGTCTAGTCAGCAAAATTATTTTTTATCCAAATAGTATCGTTCTTTCCTGTGTGATCCATGTAATTATTTATTATCGTTTTTGTTGCTATAACCAAATAAAACCGCTATTAATTTTTAAAAGTGTATTTATTCCATATTTTTTAAAAATACATATTATATCCTAATATATCGTACATATTGCTAATAAACATCAAAATTTTAATAAATCGCTCGTTTTTCGTGCAGGTGATTGTAGTAGAAAAATATTTTATGCTATTTTGTACAATGTTAGTTAATATTTCCACAGTTATGAAATAAATTATCGTACCCTGTATAAAATAACTAATTTTGACAGTTAATTAAAAAAAAGTATGAAAGATCTTGACAAGACTGTTAAAGATTTTTGTAAAAAAGTTCCTTTTGCATACAAATTATTCTATACCGATGAAAACAAACACGTAAGGTTAAAAAGAACATTTGGATTCGTATCTGGATTCATTTTAGGGTTGATATTCTATCGATACATCCTGTCGGAATTAAGTTTTACCGATACTGTTGAATTTTGGATGACTCTGAGCATTTGCATTGCCTTAGGGTATGAATATCTTACTGAAAATGACTTAAAATTGATAATTCCGATGATTTTTTGGGTTTGTAGATTTGGAATTGCTTTGTCTTCACAAATTCGATGTATTACCTTACTTACATTTCCAAATTTTGGCGGGAAAGTTGGTAGAAGTGTTTTAAAAGCTCTAGTAATAGCTTTTATTATATCAGGACCTCTAGAAAACTTATCTAGTAATGGGAAAGAAGTAGTAAGATATTTTTCAAATTTTATATTTCTAAAATATCAAAAATCTTAGACCATCTAATACCTAGATACGTAATTTCCTAGATGCTGTGTAGCCAACATGAAATACAAATCGTTTTTTAGGTACGTGTTTTTGCTTGTACAGCATCTCTGACGTTTAATTTAACCAAGACAAGGTTTGAACTGATGTTCAAGCCTTTTACACAAGCGATTTTTGGCATGAAAACGGACTTAAACGAAGTAAAAGATACTTTAAGGCAAGCAAATATCTATTTTGTGTGTTTTTCTGAGTCAAAACTTTAAAAATGTTTAGATCGATTAAAGAAGTATCGGCACCAATTACTGGTGAGATCGAAGATGAACAAGAAATGAAGAAAATTAGAGAAGAAAACGACTATCTTGATGAAAAAAGCGGAGACACCAAGAGTTCTGCGCTTATTTCTGATAAGTACGAAACAGCAGGTACTATTTTTTTCAGTACAACTTAAAAAAAAATTCGGTAGTAAGTTTTTCTCCTAAAATAATGTAATATATACATTATTTTCTGATAGGAGAGAAATCTGAAGCTGGCAGGTACGAAAAGCAGTACATGAAGAAGGTCGAGATGCGTTGTATGGACATGTTTGCCAGATCAGCAATGAAATGTCGTAAAATGTTCGAAAGCGGTTATAACAAGTGCTACGAAACAGTTACGTGGATTGCTGCTTGGTTACTGTGCTGGCCAATGAAGTTAGACTTTGTTTGTAACATTGCTGAAGCCCTAGGTGGAGCTAGTAGGTATATACTCATTATTATCATCGTCATCATTATGTTTATCACCATGATTATCATCATTTTCTTTACCTGAAATACATATGTATTTTTCTATTCATAGATGCGACCCATCCAAAGATATAGATCCAGGTTTCGGTGATGGATACACTTATCTTAAGCATTCCAGAACATCATTGTCACAAAATTTTAAAGATGTCAAACTGCAGTACAAGATAGGAAAGATAAAGCAGTTGCGTGACATCAGAGATGTCCGAGACACTGCCGTAGCCATCCTGCACAAGGTCGAAGCCAAAAAAGCCATTTTGGCGCAGATTTTGAACATAATAAAAAGAATTTTGGCCTTTGTGTTCCTTAGGGTGATTTTGGCGTCCCAGAACTACCAAGAGAAATATTTGAAGGATTTGGAGTTCGATAATATTTATATTAGCAGGTAGAGCTAACATTTCTACGAAGATGTCTATAGATAACTCTCTAAGATGTTTTAGATATTTTCGAAAAATAGATGCTAGAAGAAAGGCTTCCGAGAAATTACCTCTACTGCCTTTGAAGAAAATCGAATGTAACAAATTGGTAGATCCTGCCAGTTCTAAACCTATCAAATCTGAAAGGGAACAAATAAAAAAAGAGACGTTTTTTCTATGTTTGGAAATGATAACGGCTACCACATTTATTCTATTGGACAGACTGTTTTTTGAAGCATTGGACATAGTGAGAAGACATGCTAAAATAGAATATCTGACCACAGGAAAGCATGATCTAGTACTGGAAGTCAAAGGTACTATGTATGACTTTTTGTTACTTTATAATAAGTTTTACGTCAAGTAAATGAATCTAACCATATTAGACTACCCTAAACATTTTTTTACAGGCACCGGCATGATCGCGTCCATTCTAAGATCACTCGTCAAAGGTTTCAACGTGAAAAAGCGTATTAGAATGGTACGGAACAATGAGAAATGCTTGCCCAGACCTAGGGTATTAGCCAAATCGTATTTTTTCAAGATATACGGCACTTATTTTGCCGTGTGGACGATGTTGTGGGTGCAAGCCTACACCAACCGCCTGCGCAGACTGATATGCGCGTACTTCTTCAGAAAAAGGGAGAAAAAAAGGATTTTGTTTTTGTATAATGAAACGTTGAAAAGAAGAAAGGGATTTTTCAGGTATTTCGTAAAAATTTTCACAACCCGGCAACACCGTAAGCGATCGATAGCTTGAAAACGGTCGTAAAACAAATTTTTGTTTTAATATCTGAGACGTTTGACAGCATATGAGATTTTTGCTAGTAAGTAATAATGATTAAAAACTCAGAATTTTTAAAGAATGTTTTATAGAAATAACATATTATCCAAAACAAAATAATATTAATGTCATGATTTGTTGTAGATACTGATACTAAAGTAACAAAAAAGAAATTCTTCAGAGAAATCTATGAAACCATGTACATTCCGGCAATGCTGCGCTCGAACTTTAACATGAACACCTCCGTAAAACACCGTTGTCAGATTTTTCCTTCTTCTAGGTTTATGAAGAAAAATGTTGAAAGAAAAGCTAGAGAACGTCGTCTTGAAGAAAATTACAATGCTTTTCAAGTTTTGAGGATCAAATATCCCAAACAATGCGACTGGTTGAGATTTTTCAAGTGCGCTAGAAAGAAATGTTTGGTAAGTTAAATATTTTTTTTGAAAAGTTTAAAATTGTCTAAATTTCTAATTTTGATTTGTTTTCAGGTTTGTGAAGATCCTGAGCCAAGAAAACTCAGTAATTTTATAGAATGCATGAACGACATGTGTCATTTTGTTTATTGTATGGAGTGTTGGAACGATATGGGTCGGGAATGCCTCGTTTGCAAAATTGATAGCGAATCTGATGATTTAACAGACGAAGAAGACGAAATAGACATGTTTTAAAGAAGAATAGCAATTAGGAGATTATTATAAGATAAATAAAAACTAAAATTTATTATTAGCTTATTTTTTGCAACAGACTGTGTACTACTAAGGCATTCAAAATGCAAAATTATTTTTAAACAACGCCGTAAACAGAACACATTTTTTCTTATCAATTAATTATTAACTCATTGAATCACAAATTAAGTGTATGCTCCCATATCTTAGCCTTTCAGTAACCTCAGTTGTTTATCGTTGAAGAATTGAAAGAAACATAAAATTACTAAACGATAAGGATATGCTTCTCATTTGTTTAACAATATGGCTGTCGAACTGTTTATTAAGATTCACAGAATCCTTTTTTAACCAAAAAAATGTACATATTTAAGTCAAATCAAACGTACCAGGAAAATAAGTCTAATTTGACTTACAATTTCTACTGGAGCTCTCATTTTAATGGATACGAATCAAGTAAGTTCGTATATATTTTATTATTGTTGTTATTGCAAGAAATTTAGATTGAAATTTTGACATTTTGTGGTAAAAATTTTATGTTCAGAGTAATAAAATGGTTGTGCCACCCAGAGGAACAAGATAAAAACGTTTATGTATTATTTTTTTTTATTTCTTACTGAATTAATATAAGCTTATATCGTCTTGGTTATACGCTAACCATAAATAAAGATAAAAATGTCTATACCTATGTGGCGGATTCATCTCTCCAAAAAAAGCAAGAAAATCTACAAAATAAAATAGTTAGTTTTTGTAAACACTGCTGCGATAATCCAAACGGAAACTACTTTTTAGAAGTTAGGTTTACAGATATACAAATTTGCCTAACGAACAAAAAATGCTTAACGTTTCGGAAAGTTTATCTCTTTCCGTCGTCGAAAGCAAAAAAATACAAAGAATAAAGAAAAAAACTATTTAAAATATTTAAATTCAACTATTCGAGGACACTTTAGTTGTTTAAAACCTTAGACAAGAAAAGAGAGGGGACGGGTAACACGCATATTCTCCCGTGATCGGTTAGTCAGGCCAAAATTCGATCGGCGGCCATACTTTGGTGCCAAGATTTGTTGGGGGTGGACAAACTTGTGGTGGGCTACTTCTTACTTCTTGTTACTACATACATATATTTTTTAAAATATTCTTTCAAAAAATTTGCTAATTTAAGTGTATAATAATAGTTACAGTGAGTAATTAATAAAAATTTAAAAATAAATAAAATAACACAAACTTCTAGAATTGTTTTATTTTTTTTGTGGATAAATTCGGATATTCTTAAAAATAGGATATTCTTGTGATTGAAAGTAACAAATATTAAAAATTACATTATTCATTGAATCCGTACGCAAGTGTGAAGGATAATGGCTAGATTCATTATTATACCGTATGGTCGAAAAAAAAACGACGTCCTGTTGGCTTGTAAATGACGATCGACGACATTCCCCATATAATTTTATATATTGACAGCGATCTTCATTTCATAGCCATCGCTGACGCCGTCTTTTTTCGATGTCGTTTTGTATAGTTTTATGTCATTTTATATGTAGAATTATATGGGGAATGTCATCGATCGTCATTTACAAGCCAACAGGACGTCGTTTTTTTTTCGATTATACGGTATAATAACGAATCTAGCCAATTCCCTTTACACTTGCTTACAGATTCAATGAATAATGTAATTTTTAATATTCATTTGTGAAATTGTCATTTCCAAACAGTATATATGTATATACACGTTTAAAATATATGTTACTACATTAATTTTTATTTAATTATACATTATACACACGTTAATAAATAAATAATTGTCTTGATAATCAGTCCAGTGTGACTGTTAAATAAATTTTGCATTATCGACTTAGATATTCTAATATTATAAAGATGAGACTATAAAATACAAAATTGTATATGCATTACTCAAAAATGAACGATATATTAGTTTACGTTTTAATAAATATTTTGTACCATCTAGGTACAAGCTAATTTCTGATGCTACGCCATTGGAGAATTTCACGTGGTGACAACTTGCCTCACTTTCAGCTGCCGTGTTACCTGTCCCCTCTCTTTCCTTGTCTAAGTTTAAAACAGATACGTCTACAAAAATCGTTGACGTTCTGTTAAAATGACATTATATCAAGTTAAACTTCAAAATTAACAGTTACTACCCGATAACAGTTACTTAATAAGTAAAACCAAAGAGCCCCAAACTTTCTGTATGATTATTTTTAATTTGTATGTATGTTGTGTTTATTTATGTTATGTTCTTTAAAATCAAAGAAGCGATTGCCATACATTAATAACATCTACAGATGCATGAGCAATACATTTATTTTTATTAGATTGTATTAAAACAAGCCTCTTTTATTTTTCTTTTAGAGGCTATCGCTTCTTTCAATGTGATTTTGGCGTTATTAAAGTTTATTCTGTGCTCTGTGTCCCAAGAATGCTGACAAATCTTAGATTTGTAAAAATCTCCCTTTCTTAAATAATCTTTATGTTCTTTAATTCGAACATTTAAAGGTCTAAATGTTTCACCAATGTAAAATTTATCTCATGCAAATGGTATTTTGTATATTACATTTTTTGTTTTGTTCTGTATTCATGGGTTTAGTATGCGATAAAATAGATCTAAGTGTATTTTTTGTTTTGAAAGATGTTCGTATGTTATATTGCTTTCCTATCCTTCTTATTTTTTCCAAACGCCTCGTATGTATGGAATTGTCAGTTGTATAGATTGTGTATTGTTATTATTGTGTCTATGATTTGGGGTTTGTATTTCGTTTAATGTTTTGTCAATAAAATATGGTGGATAGTCGTTTTTTATTAATGCACTGAAAAAAAGGATCTCTCAGTCGAAATGAATATGACTTTGACCCAAAAGATTGGCGCTTTTCAATAGGGCCAAGAACGACGTTTCTTTGCCCAAAGCATTAACTATCTTTTCATAAGCTTTAAAAAATTACTTTAGAGAATAGAAGAATCTATCTGTCCAAAGTATCTCACTCTTGGCCCAAAATGAATATGCAAAGAAGTTCTTGCTACAAGAACAATAGTCTCTTTGATTCATGCAAAAATTCTTGATTGAAAAGGGACATTTCTTGATTAAAGAGACACATTTCTTAAACCAATAGCGAATAGTATTGACTCAACTAAAATTTATTTTGATCTAAGAGAAGTCTATACATCATATACAGGCATATTACGTAGTATATTATTTTCTGATAAATTTAGGTTTTCCTGGTCTGTAATAAGTAAAGTGATATTATTTTCCTCGATAGTAGTTATTTCTGCTTCTTCACTCCTTGGTATTTTTTGGGGTGGTTCATCACTCTACAAATTACAAAGAAATGATGATTTCAAAGTAAAGCAAATAAATTATTAAAATTATAAGCTTTGGTCACATTTTGAATTTTTTAATACGACGACTTGAAATTCTAAAATTTTTGTAATTATTTGCATAAAAAAATCGATACCTATATTCTTATTCTATCTATAGTCACACATGCATTATCTAAACAGGTGCATTAGGTAAATGTCTCTTACCTTCAAATATAGCAAATAAATGCTCTAATTTCCATTTTTTCAAAAACTCCTTTAAAGAATCCATATATCCTAAAATTTGTCCATAAAAAATGACAAATGCATGTTAATAACGATCACTAATTTGTTATATGTATTTTTTATGTGGATTATATCTCTGCTTAGTGAAATGTCGTCTGAATTGATACATAAATAACTATAATGAATATTTTGGCTCAGAAAAAGTACATTTTATGATCTGTATATAAAAAGAAATTATTTGTTAGTTACTTTATGTTTTTCTTTTTTCCTAGAACTGGCACAGTCTGACTGGATCCCTGTGGTGGTCATACCCTTACTAGCAACCTTAGTTCTGGCGGCCAGTGTGTTTCTAATGATCCTATTTCGACAAAATCCCACCTTTGTCATCACCACGGTGACAGGGTGTTTGATTTTTATTGCCATTTACTTAATCCTTACAGCTATAGATCAAACCAAAGAGACTTATGCATAACGAACAATATTTATTGTATGATGATGTAATTTTAAAAAGAAAATAAATTATTTATTAAGAAAAAGTCGTTTTTTATTACTACAAAGAGCATAATATGGTACAACCAGTAGCGTTTCCTGGATAAGTAGACATGTGTACATGAATCGTACCTCAAAAGAAAAAAAACTTTTACTAATTTGTACAGAAGAGAATAATCTGAAAGTCGTATATTTTTAGTTAAAAAAATACAGGTTCTTTACATACATACATACATACAGCCGTTACTCGCTGACGAGTATTCGACACACATAAAGAAGATGGTCGCAAGGCGTTTTCTTTCATGAGCTTTTCTGTGACTGAAAAGCCCGATACGTGATGTTATCTGCCTACCGCACTCCGGACATTCAAAAATCTCATTGCTTTGTTGCCTCTTTACTTTTTGGTTGCCGCTGTTAACTGAGTTTACAACCCTTCTCCATTGAGTTCTATTGTGAGCTGCTTTTTCCCACTCATTCTGCATGTTAATTCCCTTTAAATTTTCGTGGAAAATGTCCTTGTATCTTTTCAGTTGTCCACCCGGCCTCCTCTTACCGTCCACAAGCTCACCGTAAAGCAGAGATTTTGGTATGCGGTTTTCTTGCATTCTGCATACGTGACCAGCCCATCTTAAGCGGGATTTTGTGACCATGACTTCAATACTCTCGCAGTTAGATTTTTCAAGGACCGATACGTTTGAGACATGATGGAACCACCGGACTCTTAAGAGTTGTCTAAGGTGTCTCTGTTGCAACTTGTTCAATGCGTTCATGTGTCGGCGGTAAGGCACCCAGGTTTCGCTCCCATATATCATGGTGGGGATTATAATTGCTCGGTATACTGCAAGTTTTGTTTTTGTACTCAAGTCATGATTGTAGAAAACCCTGTCTTTTAATTTCCAGAATGCTCTTGAGGCGCTACTAATCCTGTGCTGAATTTCAGAGTCAATATTGGCCTTTTCCGAAATCAAACTGCCAAGGTAATTGAATTCCGCCACATATTCGAATAGTTCTTCTCCGATTTTTATAGCATTGTTGTGATCTTCCGGGGGAGTGCACATGATTTTAGTTTTGCCGATGTTCAGCTTAAGGCCCAAAGCCTCGTATGCCCAGGTATATGTGTTCAACATTTCTTGTAATTGTTGTACCGTGTTTGCAACTAGAGCGCAGTCGTCAGCGTATTGAAGTTCTGTAATAAATTTTGTACGTGTTTTTGCCCTGAGTCTTTTTATGTTGAACAGACCGCCGTCATATCTGTATCTAATGCCCAATCCTCTCCCCTGTAGTTTACTGTCCACTATAATGGAAAGCGCTGCCATGAATATGTTGAATAGAAGAGGCGCTAAGACACATCCCTGCCTAACTCCTGTATTTGTTAGGAATGGATCGCTCAGTGATCCATGATGTGACATTCTTGACTTGTTGTTGTTATGGAGGCTTTTACATACTGTAAGAAATTTGTTGGGTACTCCGAACTTTTCCATAATTGCCCAAAGCGCATCTCTGTTGACAGAGTCGAAGGCTTTTGTTAGATCGATGAATGCAACATAAAGTTTAGACTGCTGCTCTTTTACTTGTTGGTACGAAAACCCGTTTGCGATTCTGGAAGGATTTTTTCTATATATGGGTGCAGGCGGTTTGACAGGTTCTTTATGCAAAGAAGGGCAGTCCAAATTTTGCATTGAGTTAACCGTGTCATGTGGGGTATCTTGCAAAAAGGCTTTATTGACACAAGCTTAAACAGATTCTTAATTATTTTTGTTAATTAATTTTAGTTATTAATTTTTAATTAAAAACTTATGGAAGAAAGTCAATTATATTCATATCTTCGCCACATTATCTAAAGAAGAATTCGACCAATGTGTACTACCAGTCATGACATATACGAAACTTGGACACTTAAAACGGACATTATAAGGAAACTGCAGGTCGCACAACGCCCAATGGAACGAAATATACTGAGAATAACCAAAAGAGACCGTAAAAGAATAGAATGGATATTCTATATATAAGATCATAAAAAATTGGTTAAAAAGGCTTCTATCTTTTCTCCTTAAATATAAAGTACTTACTACCCATCAATTTGGATTTCTAAGTAACAGTTGCACAAATGATGCTATGTTCGACATTTTTAATAATGTATACTCTAGCCTGAATAACCATCACTCTACAGCTACAATTTTCTGTGATTTCTCTATTGGCAACAGAAGGCAACTTGTGAGGATCGATACGTCTATGTCTTCTTGTAAACCTATAGAATGTGGTGTCCCTCAGGGTTCAGTACTTGACCCTATTTTGTTTCTGGTGCTTATCAACGACATTGCAATTCTAGACATTAGCGGTAAAATCTGCCTCTTTGCGGACGATACTAGTTTCACTTGGAGCGGCCCAGATGTTACGGCACTATATAATACTATATCCAGTGACTTACGCACTATTCAATCTTGGTGCGATTCTAACCTCCTATGAATCAACCTTTCAAAAACTAAAGTTTTGTCATATAAAAATACTATACAACCTTTTGTACTTAATAACACCACTATTGACGTCGTGGACTCTGTGAACTCTGTGACTTGCGCATCGAAGCTTTATCAAAGAAACTAAGCGCTGCCTGTTTTGCGCTAAGATCAGTTTCTAAGGAACTTATCAACCTCTAGAGTAGCCTATTATGCCCTTTTTTGAGTCACATCTTCGTTATGCCCTTCCATTCATGGGTACTTGCTGCGCAACAAAATTTGATCGTATTTTCAAACTTCAAAAGAGAGCAGTTCGATATTTATTGGGACTGAACAGTAGAACTCACTGCCAGAATTTTCTTAAAAATTTCAAAATACTGACTCTTCCTTCCTTATTCATTTTGAATCCGTTTGCTTAATCCGCAAGCACATATCTGCTATTCCGGAAAGGCCATCCCACAACTATCCACTTAGGAATGAGGAGCACGACCTTTATCTGCCAACCCCGAGCTCAGAACTAGTTAAAAGCCCAATACTGTACAATGCCAAGAAAATGTACAATCATCTGCCTTTGAATATCAAGTCGCTTTCATTCTTTCCCGCATTTCGCAAAGCTCTGAAATCATACTTACTGGAGAGAGCCCTATATGCGGTAAAGGACTTTTTTGTTGATGTTTAATCATGAACAATTTTGAATTTTAAAATTTTCATTATCTCACACACTGGTTAAAGGTCTAGTATTTAATATTTAATATTTTATAACTCTTACATTTTTATTTACAATTTTCCTTTTGTAAAATTTTATTGATACGCCTGTGTTCTGCAATGTCCATGTTTGTTTTATTTGTAATTTTAATGACGTACATTTTTTTGAATTGATTTGTATTGTATGATATTTTTTATTATGCGTATATTTTTTTTGTGCTTTTGTTTTGTAAATGCTTTGTCGATGAAGCTATTTTGGCTTTTTGTACAATAAAGCGTTGTTTTTAATTGGAAATGGTTGAATAAGCTGAAATTGATGATGAAGATCATGATGATTATTTTATAAATATTAGCTACAAATTTGTTGATTGTCCGTTTTTTTTTATTTAATGAAATAAGACCTTTTAGCCTATAATTTGTAGCTCAAAAAGAGCATTTTTTGAGCGAAGATACATTTAAATAAGAAGACTAAGGAAGGAGCATATCAAAAATGTTAGATCCACCGCGATGGGCCTCAAATATGGCCGACTTAAATTCCGTTTTATCAGTGCCGTTCTAATTTTATTTAAAAAATGTAAAACGATGATGTAGGGTTGACGTGGGGTAGACTCAATATTTTTTTTTATTTTACGTTGTGAATAAATGTTGGTAGTTATTAAAATTGTTATAAAAATATAAAATTCTAATAAAAATAGATAAGTTATAATAATTATTTATAGCCATAAATATCCGATACGCTACTGAAGCAGGTAAGTCAAATTGACGTATCTGAATTCTTTGACATCTTTGACAAGTAGTAAATAGAAGCAGAAATGCAAAAAAAATATATAATTAGTTAATTTAAGTGAATTTCATAAATGATCGGTTTACTACACGTATGTATATTATATAGTCACTTACTAACGAAAAGTTGTTCCATTATTTCACTCGATTTTTGCCGAGATCTACCACACGCTACACAACCAACTATTTTAGTCTTTTTCGATAAATCGCGATAGTGTTACTGTTAATTTAAGTTTTGCCACAATTTCCATCTAGATTTACTACCTTTATACAACTATCAGTAGTAGAATAAATAATAAATAACATAAAATAAGCTCCGTAAAGACTGACAAATCCACAAAATTTCAAATCAAATTCAAATGTGTCAAATGAATCGTCAAACAGAACTGTCAAGGATCAAAAATCCCCACCTTAGAGTCCTTTTTCCGCCCACCATGCATGAATACATGGATAGCATTATGCTCCTTCCTTAGTCTTCTTATTCAAAGGAAGATACAAACCCTTAAAAAAACACGCCACTGGAAATAATATATTTTATTACATACGTTATAAAATTGAACCATAAAAAAGTTATAGACTTTTCAACACACTTTCAATTGTTTCGTATTTTTTATTTTAAAAATTATTATTAAAATACTTTATTACATATATATCATTATTAAAATTATATATTTTATTTTGTATTTTAAAAATTTTCTTCCCTGAATCTACACCACGGTTATCAAAAAGTGAAAAAAAAATGAAAATATGGCCTGTGCTTTTGTGCGTCGCGATTTTCGTTCAATGCGGCGACAGTGGTTTGTTCAAATTTATCAAACCACATTGGTGGATTGGACAAGCCAAAAAAATTATAAAGCTTCCTTTTGGTGAACGGGAACAAGTTAATACTACCGTAGAAGAACCTGTTACTATTCCACCAGAACCAACACTTACAACCCAGGAAATTCTGTTCAACTTAGGTCCAAGCTTACAGGTAGGGTGGATATACTGGATCAACTTTCGTTTAGCTGAAATCAGTTATTATAAAAAAAATATTTTTGTCTTCAAAAAGCTACTGTGAACCACGGAAAACACAAATTTTCCTGCGGAAATGCGTAATTTCCAAATTTCGCACTTTAGAATAACTAAAATTTGCTATAAAAAAATACATTTTGCGTTTTGTTTTTAATACTTTTCTGAACGTATAAACACAAAAATTTTCCTGCGAAAATAAGCTGTTTTCATTTTCTAAGGAAATTTATTAGACTTTAGAATAGCTGAAATCGGTTATATAAAAAATAAATATATTTTTGCCTTTTAGAAGCGTTTACAAACTCAGGAAAATAAAAAAAATTCCTGCGGAAATACTTGATTTTCATTTTCCATTTGTTCCTTATTATATTATCGGGTCTTGTAAAGTATAGAAAGCAGGGAGCAGATATTGGCAGAAAGTCCTATGCTTACAATACAACAGTTTAAAAGAAAAAAATCCTTGGATGAAGCACTTTTGAACGAAAAAAAATCATTTAAAAATGTCTAAAATGCTAACCAATCTAATAATAAATCTAATAATATGTTTACAAAATCACAGTTAATTATTAAAATATAAAAACCACAGCTTAACACCCTCCACAAAGAAAAGCTAACCAAAGCAACCCATATCCTAACCAATCTAATAATATTTTGGCAAAATCACAGTCACTTATTAAAATATAAAAACCAAACAAGAAAATTTAATTAACAAACCAAACTCAAACAACATAAAAGCAAAAACATTTTTGATTTATTTTTGATTTTATTTTAATCTGTACAGATTTATAGCTAACAAACTGAATTTTTACAGAGTTATTTCCAAACAAACGACCCCTTAATCAAAAACAATTATATTGTCTCGCCAATTAGCGTAGCCATAGCGCTCAGCAACCTGTTGCTGACCGCAGAAGGTTTGCAGTACGACGTGATCTCAAATATACTACAGTACCGCTCAAATGTAAGTAAAAAGACATATCATTCAAATCATCTAAACAAAAAAAATAGTATTTTAAAGTTTACAGAATATTAGAAGTCGGAACCTCTTTTAAAAATTGTGTTGGAGGAAAGTACTAGAGTACTACTAAACTACTAGTAGTACTACCACAACAGATGCGAAAGAAAGCCACTGCATCGGAAACCGCTCGGCAAACCCGACACGCCTATTGAGTGGTGTAAATACACCAGTCGTTTAGTCCCGAAGTCCTTGCTGTGTCGTATTCGTTTGCTGAAGCTCGCTGGTGTGACATAGTGCGTGGTTATATGTTTGTTTTTAAGAACGCGTGTAGGATTTTTTTTTAACTTTCGAACTGTTATTTCTAAGTTTTGGTAATTTGTATATCTTATTTAAAATGGGATACAAATGTGTTTATTTATACTGTTCTACAAAAACCGGAGGAGGAAAATCACTTTTTAGGTTCCCAGAGGATAAGTTAAGGTAAGGAAAAATGATTAATAAGTATGGCAGTAGCTTTTTAAACATCTGGTCTAATCATCGGCGTCTGCACTCCCCCTACTCACTCTAAAATGATAGTGTGGATTTTAATTCTGTCAACTTTGGCGTGGTTGACAAATGACAAATCGCCTTTTGCGGATTGACTCGTTTTTCTCTTTCAGTTTTTTGTGGCTCTTTCTTTAGGTAGTTTTTTATTTTTATTAGACTACATAGTATGTAGCACCGAATAATAATATAGCAAGAAGAGTCACTCTAAATCCCGCCCTATTTTACGTTATTTCCACGTGGCTGTGTTTTTTAGCCGAAGCTCTTATTTGAAATCGGTGTGTTTTTTTGTACGGAGTATATTTATTAAACTTGTTACCTAGCTCTATCGGTAAAAACTTACTAAATTGAGATCATCCATCTTGACGTGATGTTCTTTTTTAAAAATATGTTTTTATTTGCCTATTTATTTTAATAAAAAACGTTTATGTTCAAAAGTTAAAATTTTTAGATTATTTTGCCTCGGATTGTGCTTTTTTAGGTCATTAAGTTTGTTATTATTTTAGTTTTTGTTCTGTGTAAATAAATATACACAATTAATATATTTATGTAACATAATATGTTTGTTTATTATACGTTATCCTATTTCAAATACATACCGACCAGACTTTATACTATTTACATTTAATTCCATCCGCCGCGCGCCGCATTTATTTGTGAAGAAACCCCGTATTCGAACGCTCGACCCAGCGGCTGCATACGACCATAAATTTTTTCCATAAAAAGAATCCGAATCTCTGGATAACTCGAAATTATTTACCCATTTAAAAGCCTTTAATCACGAAAGTGGCACTTATGGGAGTTTAAAATCGCCAAATGAAAAATTTGTTCATTTTATTTACAGGCTCGAAAAATTATTTACATTAAATTTTGATGAGTTTTGCACTGAAGAAAACATTTCTCAGAGGTGTTTGATATAATAAAAACTATAGAATTTGACCACCCATCTGAGAAATTTCCTCTTATTTACATCATTAAATTATTTATTAGATTGAAAATATTTTATGCATTAAAGTTTACAAATAAAGATTTATATAGTCAAAAAAAGTCCGATAGAACCAATAGAAAAGAAACTATTTTGTCACATCTTTAATTAAATTTTGTTAAATAAATTAATGTTTTCATACTATAAATATCTTTTTTTTCCCTAATTTCCTACGAACTGATATATGACGAGCAATCTATTAAATTACTGTGAGATTATATGCCTCGATCACATATTGGTGCAGATTATTTTAACCCAAACAAATAATAACGCAAACTATACATTGATGCGGATTGTCTATGAACTCTTTCTGAAGGTCACAGAAACCGAAACGCGGAATTCGGTGTACTTTCGCATCTGTTATGTACTACTACAATACTACTGTAGTAGATGGATCTAGTAGATCATCTACTGAGTCTCTTTTAAAAGATTTAAGTTTATATACAGGGCAGCTCTGCCCTGTATATCAATATTCACATTAATAGGTCATGTCATTATTTTTTAGGGAGAAAACAGAAATCATATGGATTTCATCTGGGATCTATACAACGTAATTAACTCAGTTAAATCGTCATTTCGAAAGAATTACACTTTTTATCGCAAAGAAGGACTGTTTTTCAGCGAAGACCAAGAACTTTCAGATCATTTCCTGGCCAATACCGTCAGATTTTTCAAAACTGACATTGTGCCAATGGATTTTACAAAACAAAACAGGTGTTAAACTGTTTTTTACAGCAGTTTCTCGTTTTACGCGGTTTCGTTAATTCCGTATTGGATAGAAAATGTTTTGTGTCGATTTAGACAACACTCGCCAAGTCGGTAGGCCATTGACAATGATAGGGACGGGGACCGCGGTTCGGATTCCGTGTGAACTAACTAGGCACCATCCGGATTAGCCTGAGCAGCAAAAAAGAGACGGCAACTTGAAATACTTTTACTTTTTTCACCCAAGTTTATGTTTCAATAATATTGAAATCGTGGCTTTGCCATAATATTTATAAGTATTTTAGTTTTTTGCTAGTGCAGTTATTGAAACTATAAAAGACTCAGGTACGAGGTTTGTGTGATGTAACACTGTTTCGGGTAGTAAAAATTAAGTGAAAAGATCGTTATTAAGTTCGGTAGTTGAACTCATCTAAAAAGTTTTTTTAGCTGGAATAATAAATTATAATACAAATTAGACCTTCTGAAGATCTCAAAATATTTACTTTTTTATTTTTATTTTTAGAATTTTCACAAATTATACTTCCTAACGATTTAAGTTCCGCTAACGCTTCCTAACGTGTATTTATACATACTAGTTGTTTACGATATTCTCCGATGGTGGCAGCACCGGCGGAGAATGCACCGAGCCTATACGCTGTTTCGATTTACGCTGTGTTTTAAAAGATCGTAACCTCCGCGTAAAACAAGGAACATCTGTACATACTAATATTCTGTATTTTCTAAACTTATTGTGCTGGTAACACAAAAATATTCTTCTAGTTTTCGCAAAATCAAAAACTGGGTAGTCAAAAGCAGTCGAAAGCATATTGGCAACATATCGACGGCCGCTGTGAACAGCCAGATGGAATCACTGCTGGTGAACGTGGTGGTTTTTCAAGCCAAGTTCAAAGACTCCTTTCGAAAATCTTCCATCCGAAAAGATTTCAGCGTCAAGCCGTTCAAACAGATCAAAGTCGTCTATTACGAGGTACCTATAAAAGCAATATGCTCACAATTCGATCACCTGCATCTCTGGTCTTGAAAATTTATCATTTCTTTATTGCACTGAAAAAAAAACATATAATAGTTATTTTTTATACAAGACGATAAAATAGTATTTTATCGTCGACCGAAAAGATTAATAGGGAGTTTTCGTCGCTTTAAAAAAATTCAACGGAACGGTTAACGGATACGTAACCATAACCGCTATTTTGACAGATAAAAAAACAGTTTTCGGACTTTCGGTTCATCGGTTCGGAGCCGACATACGATACGATAACCGAAAACTGACAGATTTTTGGTCACTTATTTGGTTTTTGTATTGTTGTTTGATTTGAAAGTGCTTTATATGACTTTATTGGGTATCGCTATATAGGATGGACAATTTAATTTTATTGGACTCTAGTGATGAATCGGATTTGGAGGATGCTATGTTGTTGGAAGGATGTGAAAACAACATCGAATATCGAGCAGAGTTTAACCTAAAAATATTATCTGACCAAGAGTGCAAAGCTAATTTCCGCTTTGAAAAAAAAAGACATTCCTCGATTAGTTGAAGCACTAAGAATTCCCAACGAGTTTAACACAGATAAAATAAGTAATCAAAACATAAACAAAATAGAACGAGGTTAGGTTAGATCTGTATTTTTCAATGTTGTGTTCTACTGCGCTAGTGCGCATGCGTACCGCTATGTTAACTGCTTTGGCTAACGTCCGTAAAATATCGGCAGTTAGCGGTTACGATATACGATAATCGAAATTGAAATGTCAAAGTTGTCAATTAGCGTTAACCGGATTTGCAATTTGTAAGCAACGAAAACTCCCTAATGAATTAATTTCGGGAGACGATAATGCAATTTTATCGTCGTGTATAAAACAATATTTTTTTCCATAGCGAGTTACGTTTTAAAAAATAATCAGAAATTATTATTCCAAGGAATTTATTAGAAGTAGAAAAAATATTGTGCTGAGTTGGCTTTGGTTTCTATGTAATTTGACAAATAAATAAAGCTGTTAGACCGAGAGCTCTTCCCCTAGGAGATGCAAGACCTTGTCGTTGGTGGGGAAGCTCCTGTCAGGTGCTGGGGGGAATCCCCCTAGCACTTGGCTTGGTCTAAGAAGCATCTCACTCATCGTCTTGTCCCTGACTGTAGTGTCGTGCCCAGGGAATTGCACCAAGGCATATAACGATACCGGGCGGGGCTACGGACAGCCTCAACCTTGGGGCACCGGGGGGCACCCCATTGTATTTTACCCCTTACTTCTACATGCGGGGCTCTGTAGAAGTGGACCGACTGTCCCTAGCGACTCATAGGAACACTATGAGATCTGGTAATAATAGTAATAAAAACATCACCGGTGAGTGGGGAAACCCCCTAGCGACACTAGGAACAGTTAACAATGAAAGTTCCAAGGGGCCAAACCCAAAGAGAACTACAGGAGAGGTGGCTGACACTTGCGTGAGACCATCCTCCGCAAGTGGCATACACGCTACCACCTCCTCCAAGGGTCGGGAGCCTACCTCCTACCTCTAAACCCAACAGGCGACACAAGCTACCGTTTCGTCTACCCGGCCTGGGTCGTAGCTCCTCGACTGTGAGGGACAGGGGTCTCCGTAGGAAGTCCTGGGACTGTATGATGAGTTATAACTCAAGAAAGGGGGACACAATAGATCTCTAAGGTCGCAGAGATTAACCCCCCTCCCACTTATTCTAAATTCTAAATTCTAGACCGAGAACTGGCTACATAAAAAACCTTATCATCGTTACATGGCTAATTTTTTGTGTGAAGCATCCTTTTGTGTAGCCATTGTGAAATAGTCATGTCTACCAGCGCGATCCCGGGGCTTAAAGCGGGGGCGACCAATCGAAAGGGTGAAATTTTGATACTAAAAATATTATAAGGTACACGAGTTATAATTGCCAAATAGCTTTTATTTATTATTAGGAAACGTGTAAAATTGTTGACAGACATTTTTCTCGTGGCTGAAATGCCGGCAGACAACGCGAAAGAGGCATAGAATTTTGACAAAAGAAAATCATCGCATACATGCATGTCGGTTGGTGGAATGTCATGTTTATTTTTAATTAATTTAAAAAGCCGTATGCAAAAGGGCAGACAAAAAAATCGTTATTGAAATAATAAAAAAATATATTTATAATATAATCGTATATTATATGATTTATCTATACTTAAATGGATGATGCGGCCAGCGTTCCCTGAATAAAGCGCTAGAGTAATATCTAAAATTTCATGCCTCTTTCGCGTTGTCTCTCGGCATTTTAGCGACTAGAAAAATGTCTGCCAACAATTTTCCACGTTTCTTAATAATAAATAAAAGCTATTTTCGCAATTATAACTCATATATCTTTAAGCCCCGGGATCGCGCTGGCAGACATGACTATTTCACAATGGCTACACAAAAGGATATTTTACACAAAAAATTAGCCATGTAACGATGATAAGGTTTTTTATGTAGCCAGCTCTTAGACTATGTCTCTTTAGTTGTCAGTTTTGAGTCAGTATTTTTTAATTCTCTTTCGTGTCGATTGCTGATTGAATTGGAGCCAGAAATGGCTCAAAACGAAATAAGTAAATTACCAACAGATATTCAGGCTGAGGCGACAAACGCCATATCCAAACTACGAGTACTTCCATTTAAATCCCGAATAACTTATGAAAAGGAATACAACAATTTTCAAAAATGGAAACAATTAAAAAACGTGCGAGAAGAAACAAAGTTTTTAACCTATCCTCGCTGTTAAAGTATTATTTAATCTACCATTTGCGGTTAAAGTACTATTTTATCTACTATTTTTGATAGATATAAGGTAATTTTAGCAGTTGCTATGGAAAAAAAAAAAAAAAAAATACAACATTATACTTAGATTTTTATAAACATGATACACAATTATTATATTAGCTAACTTATTATTCTTCCCCAACTCAATTTACAATAGTGCCTGGTACTTGTAACAGCAAACTGTGTCAAAAAAAATACAATTATTAGTAATGCTACAATTTGTAGTAACTATTAGTAGCACTACTAAAAATATACAGGGTGTCCCAGAAATAAGTGCGAGTATTTTAAGGGGTGCTAGATCTCGATAAAAGAAACATATTTTCTCTTTATCGTTTTTCAAATAAAACCAAAATAACGGAGTTATTTTACTTTGAAAATTTAAAAAAAAATGATTTTTTGCTAAAGTTTTGGGAACCACTGGATCTTTTCTAGATTTTCTTTCTTGTAAATTTAATTACAGTTGAGGGTTGGAACCTTTGGTGTTACACAGCAAAACAAAAACACTAAATCACCACAATACACCAAAACACTATTACTTTTACACTGGACGCGCGTTTCGCTAACCATGTTAGCATCATCAGCGGATGATTATAAACTAAAGTACAATCAACAAGTTGAGCGTTTATATACTCGCCCAGTGTGCACCGAGTGGGCGTGGCAAAATCTAGCCAGCCGAGTCAGAACCCACTGAGCGTAACAGTTAGATTTCCGCCACTAGAGTAGTAGGAACAAAGAACTTGTTGTCTCTGTTCATACTATCTTTACATTTATTAATTCTGATGCTTTCATATGCATCTAATTGCCTGTAATTTGAGACTTGTTTAATTAATTTTAAATTATTAAGATCTATACAATGTTCTTTATCAACAATATGTTCGGCAACGCAAGATTTATCCGGTATACCATATCTTATCTGAGCTAAATGTTCTTTAAATCTAGTTAATATTGATCTTCTAGTTTGCCCAACATATTTCTGATTACAGTCTTTACAAGAAATTTCATAAATACCCGACCTTTCCAGTGGAGGTGTTTTATCCTTTGGATTACCTAATAATTGTTGTAATTTATTATTAGCACTATATACAGGTTTATAATTGACATTCTTAAAAATTCCTTTTAGACCACGGGATAACTCTCTATCAAACAGTGTCGAAAAATATTTAGACGTATCTTTCTCCACTTGAAAAGTCGAATTTTCAGAAATCATTAACCCATACCTACGTTTTCTAATTAATTTATCAACTAGTGAAGGAGAATATCCATTACACTCAGCTACATTCCTAATGTAATTTCTTTCTATTTCATATCTTTCGTTGTAAAGTGGGAAACTAAGTAATCTGTGAACTAAGAAATTTAAACTAGCCATTTTATGTTCAACACTATGATGTGATTCAATAGGAATATATCTGCGTGTGGTCGTATTTTTCCTATAGATATCAAATTCCAGGCAATTATTAGCATTTATAATAACTAATACATCTAGAAATGGTAATCTGTCGTTGTTCTCAATTTCATGCGTAAATTTAATGGAAGGAAAACGATTATTTAACTTAGAAATAAAATTATCTATAGTGTCTGAATGTGTGTCAAAAACAGCAAAAATATCATCCACATACCTAAACCATACTCTTGGAAAATACCCAAACTGATTCTTAGCCTCCACTTCAAACCTGCTCATGAATAAATTAGCCAAAAATGGAGACAATGGATTACCCATTTCTGTACCTTCCCGCTGTTCAAAAAAGTTGTTATTAAATTGAAAACAATTTTGTTTCATACATAACGATGTAAGCTCAATATATTCACTCACAGTTTTGTTGTCGAGACCATTTGCGTTCAGTAATTCCTTTAAGTAGCCTAAAATATGTGGAATTGGAACACTTGGGAACAACGAAGATACATCAAAGTAGACCAAAATTTCACCTTCTGCAATGTTATATCTTTAATTTTGTTAATGAATTCAATATTATTTTTAACTGCGAAAGAAGGTTCATGATCAGGTAAATCTTCTAATAAGGCTTAAATACCTATGTTGCCATATTATCAAGAAGTTATGTTTTTTAACTAAAAACTAAAAAAATTACAAAAATTTTTTCAAAAAATTTCGAATTTTCAAAATTTTTTTTCGTGAAAAAAACCTCATAGGCGTGTTTCTGGGGTTGTACTATACTACCAGTTAAAATACTTGCACTTATTTCTGGGACACCCTGTATATTCGATACCAATTAAACTTTTGGTAACGTAATCAAGATCGCGATTTTTAAATTCATTCTTGGCCAACCATGGACGTATTCGGCGCGGGCTGACTAACTGGAATTTAAATTTCCCGCTCGGAATTCAGGTGGTAGCCCTCTGTTGTAAAAAATGTCAAATTGCATCATTTATTTATTAATTTCCTAACATTGTCATTCATTTTGACACTGTAGTTTTGTATTACGAGTTTTTTGATTAAAATTAAATTGTGTTGTGATATTTTATAAGCTTAAAAATTTTTACTAGCAGACCTTTGTAGTCGAACATTGTTCTTTTTAGAACCTCTTTTAGTGCGAAGTGGGTACAAGATAGCTTAATAGCCGTAAAAAACTCATCGCAACTTTATTAGAATATTTTGAACGGGAAACCGGTAGTAAAGGTCCTTTATGTCCCGTAAGTGCTGTCAAGAAGGTGAGATTTGTTGATGCAAATGAATAACTGTTTATATATTTATAATTAATTTATTTTTGTTTCCTAAAATATTTCGATTAAAAGAAAATATGTAAAAGTGTGCCGGTCAAGCTTAATCACGTTACTAAAAGTTTATTTGTTATGAACTATATTTATCTTTGAATAAGAAGACTAAGGAAGGAGCATATCAAAAATCTTAGGTACACCGCCACGGTACACCGCGATGGGCCTCAAATATGGCCGATTTAAATTCCGGTTTATCAGTGTCGTTCTAATTTTATTTAAAAAATGTAAAACTATGATGTAGGGTAGACGTGGGGTAGACTCAATAATTTGTTGTTTTATTTTACGTTGTGAATAAATGTTGGTAGTTATTAAAATTGTTATAAAAATATATAATTCTAATAAAAATAGATAAGTTATAATAAGTATTTATTAACACAAACATCCGATGCGCTACTGAAGCAGGTAAGTCAAATTAACGTATCTAAATTCTTTGACATCTAATCTTTGACAAGTAATAAATAAAGCTAAAATGCAAGAAAAATATATAATTTAGTTAATTTAAGTGAATTTCATAAATGATCGGTTTACTACACGTATGTATATTATATAGTCACTTACTAGCGAAAAGTTGTTCCATTATTTCACTCAATTTTTGCCGAGATCTACCGCACGCTACACAACCAACTATTTTAGAGTCTTTTTCGATAAATCGCGATAGTGTCACTGTTAATTTAAGTTCTGCCACAATTTCCATCTAGATTTACTACCTTTATACAACTATCAGTAGTAGAATAAATAATGAATAACTACAGGAAGTTACTAACTGATTTTTTTACTAACTAATTTCTTCTAAAATAAGCTCCGTAAAGACTGACAAATCCACAAAATTTCAAATCAAATTCAAATGTGTCAAATAAATCGTCAAACAGAACTGTCAAGGATCCCCACCCTAGAGAGCTTTTATGGTGGCTTTTCCGCCCACCATGCATGAATACATGGATAGCATTATGCTCCTTCCTTAGTCTTCTTATTCAAAGATATTTATGTAATAACGATTTTCATTTATTATTTCATTTAAATTTCAACAAGTACAATCTGAGCATTCTCTGGTACGATACCCACCATAATTATTAATGTACCTAATCACATTCCAGGGATTCGTAGAAGGGGCATTTTTCGTAGAAAACGATAGATACACTTTAGTAGGAGTCCCCGACCGAACCCAAAAAATATACCTCTATATTATCCTCCCAAAGGGCTCGGATTGGATCCAGTACGAAATAGCCACCTTCTCCAACAATTTCAACTACCAAGAACTGTCAGTAATCCAACAAAGCAGAGTGAGAAGCGACGTGAAGCTGAAAATACCGGACGCCTTCACATCTGTCGTGGCATTCGATTTGTTCAAGCCCATTATGAACATAAAAAACGAACACAACAAGGATTTTTCCCTGCCTCCTTCAAGAACTCTTAAGCTAAGCGAAGGTTTCGACTTATCTGGTGTTATGCAGTACATGTACCTGAACATGGAGCACTTCGATGATACTCCTGAATATATTCCGCCAAGTAAGTGAAAATTAAATTACTAGTCTACATACAAGGTTTTACTTCATACGTTTTGACTTAACCGGTAAGACATAACTGGTATAACGTTATGCGTTGATAAACATGAGCAAAAAAAGGTTTGTGAAGGAAAAATAGAAATAATGATATACCTATAGAACACAATGGAGATGTACAGTACGTCTGCTGGATCTGTGTCTATGAAAGAAACGCGGACAAAAAACATTTAAATAAACAGCAATATATTTTATACGTCGACTTGAGGAGTACGTCACCGCAAATCGCTCCGCCCACTCATTTTATTGGCTACTTGCAAATTTGTCGAATTTTGATTGATGGGACGCGTCGTCTAATTTTTTACGAAAAACGTCGAGAGAATATCGTTTCCCCTCTCACGGATACCCCGTAGCTACAGAACGGACAGACGTACTGTAATATATGTACTCAAAAAAGCATATAATGTTACTATTTCGACCGAAAGTTCAACTAACACATTCAATTAAATAAATAAATAATAATAATAAATTATTTATTCTAATTTAAATTTTGCGCCTTATAATCCTTCAGAAGTTCACCAACAGATGGCAACACATAACCTGTCGGTTTTTTGGCTTCTGTGGTTAACTTTTTACCAAAAATTAATCCCTTATTCTTATATTTCTATAGAAAAATACGTGTAAAAGGGTTTTATAATAAACATACCAAGCTAATACAAAAACAATATATTATATATTTTTGGAGATTCGTTTTTATTAATTATACCCTGCAAATACATTGAAAACCACGTCATAGTAGACGTTGAAATAACATTTCAGTTGAACCTTTCCTCTGCATTTATGTTTACTTGATTTTTCATTGAAAACTATGTACGACTTTATATTTTGTAGTTTTAACTTCAACTAAAACGTCAATTCTACGCCTTATATGACGTCTTTTTAATTCAAACATACAGTATATTATCTAAAATTAGTTCTGCTAATAGAGATGCTTTAAAAGAATACAATTTTTTGTGTATTTTTTCTGATAGGTCGACAGAAAAGAGAAGAAAAGGAGGATTACAAGGACTTCACAGTTGACAGACCGTTTGTTTTCTTTTTAAAACATGAAGAGAGCAACGCTGTGTTATTCTGGGGTAGTATATCCGATCCTTCAAAAATATCAAACTAATTTTTGCATGTATTTATAAATAAACTAGTACCAATATATAAAACTTTTATTTAATTACTATTATTTTTAGTATAATTACGATTAAACACATTTCGAAACATAACAGAAACATAAAATATTAGAATAAATATAAAAAAGTTAAAATAGCTGTTTATTATTCTGTGGAAATTTTAATATTTTGGGTATACTCAAACTGAGATATGTCTTTATCCATTTGAGTAAACAATACTTTAATAGTGTTACTTATATTATTGTACTCCTGTAAGGCTTTGAGGACATTTTCGTTAACCTCTTTACATTCTTCATAAATTTCCACGTTTGAACCAGCCAAAGTTTGTAATTTACCTGATAATTCAGTAACTTTTTGAAGACTTTCCGAATTAGTAAACTGAATGAGATTGTTGAACGTTTTAATGAGTTCAACTCTTGCCTTTAACTACAAAAATAATACTTGAATTTTATGCTACTATCTTGTAAAAGTCTGTATTATACCTCTGGATATATCTGCAACAAATACTGCTTTTTTATATCAGCTTCTAAATCATATTCACCACTCGATGGGTCGAGATACTCATTGATTGTGTGCATATGTTGTAAGAGTGATGTAACCGATTCTCTGCAGCTAAGAGCTGAAGATATCATTGTTTGGGTTTCAGTTAAAAGATCGGCAATGGTTTGAGATTTGTTACTGAGAACTGATTTGTCTTTTGGCAATATTTGCAGTTCCAAAGCTTCTATACGTTTCTCTAATAAGTCAACGGCATCCATATCTAAAATTGCTAATAGATAAATCTGTATATTTTGGTATATATCTATTACCTGAATTTTTTGTGCTTAGTTTTAAGAAAAAGAAAATAAAAAATTGATTTGTATTTATTATGTATTATTAACCTCTCCCAAAAATAAAAACAATTGTCACTGTCATAATTTTGAAGATAGGTTTTATCTTCTGTGGTTTGTATTTTCGATCTACTCAATTTTAGATCAAAAGCACTGTTACGTATTTTACACAAAAACGTAAAAAATATCCGTCCTTGGAATTTTATCTTTGGTATGTGCATTTGACCTACTCTCGGTATGGCATATTATCTTTTATCTTCTGTGGTAAGACATTTCTATAAATAAGTTATGTTTTGGATATTTTTTCAGAATTTATGAACGAATAAACCGTTTGATTTTTTAAATTTGGATAAATGTCTAGTTCTTTCTTTAGTACTGATAATTAAAATGTTTCATAAACCCGTAATAACGCCTGACCTAACAAATTTCTGTCGAACTTGTCTTACACAATGCACAGCACAAGATTTAACAAAACTGTCCTGCGACATAAGTCTGAAAAATGATATTTACGAAATCACACGCATTCAGGTAAATAGTGCAATATTTATGCGCCAGATAAAGTTCCAAGATTCTGCAACAATTTTAGATGAGATTCCATTCGTCTCTACCACAGGGTATTTGTAAGAAATGTTTTAGAGATATAAGAATCGCAATGGCTTTCAAAAAGAAAGTGGAACATACAGAGGTACAGTTGCAAACCGTGGTGAGAGTAGTGAACGAAACAAACAGTATTACAAGTATAGTTCTTTTAACAGAAGAACTACCTGTACCAGATTTAGTACCAATAAAAACCAGGGATGAAAAGATAGAAGCCAATAAAATTGATTCAAGTGTAATGATAGTATGATATATTTTTCATTAAACACCTGTTATGATTTAATATTATAGGAGAGTGATATAATAATTGAAAAGGTTGAAGAAACAGGGGAACAGGATTTAGTTCCAACAGAAACCAGAGATGAAATATTAGAAGCCAATACGAGTGATGTAAATGTAAAGATGGTATAATATATTTTTCATTATTAACACCTGTTATTGTTTAATATTTTAGGAGAATGATATAAAATTTGAAGAAGTAGAAGTAAGATGGGAGGAGGTATGTGAGGAGGTTCCAAAAGAATGGCATATAAGTAAATTACCATGTAAAAAATTAAGAAAATGTATTTATTGTGATAAAGAGTTTGACAACATTTTCGATCTGAAAGTAGGTACCTAGTATTCTATATGTACTACTAAAAAATACTATACAATCTCTTGCTTTACCAACCTGAATATATAGGAAAGCCTATGTAATTTTTAAAAATGATGAATAAGTTTTCCCCAATTTATTTTACAGAAAAAAATATTTGTATTGAGGATTTCCTATGCTTAGGTCAACAAAGCAACACACAGTATATGCTGTACTTAAAATGAACTATATATTTCTTTTAGATACACAAGAGGTTAGATCACGTTGATAAACCTTGCGAAATATGTGGAAAAACTTTTAAATCAAGAGAATGCTATGTTATGCATCTAAGAACTCATTCGGAAAAAAGATATATGTGTGATCTGTGTGGTAACTTTTTATAATTACTATAATATTATATAAAGCCAATATTTTTTAGGTGAGACGTTTATGTATAGCTATAAGTTACACATTCATAAGAGACTTCATACTGGAGAGCAGCCTTTTAAATGTGACATTTGTGCCAATGTCTTCCAAAGTAATGCCTTGCTTAAAATCCACACAGCTAAACATAGGCCTGAATGTAAATTTAAGTGTAAAAAATGTCCAAAGGTAGTACTATACACTAGTGTACAGTGTCACAGATAAAGTTCACCACAGGAGTTCACATTATATTTGACTTAGGTAAAATTTACCTGTTGTCCCTGGGTATCTGTCAAATTTGACATTTAAAGTAACAAACTTTATCTGTCACACTGTATAAAAATTTGTCTATTGCCAGCTTTGCCAGTCATTATATATTTCATATCAATCAAACTTCTAGTTATCGAGAGCGCGATTTTTAATTTCATTGTTGCCAACCATGGACATATTGGGCGCCGTCCTGACCATAGATAAAAGAAAATAATCTACTATTAAGATAGATATGAAACTTAATAGTAAAATTTTGGGTCAAAGCGCCCCTCCGTGTTTTTAGTGGAGACTACGTTTAACCCAGCGCCTTCGCCTTTTCTGCTGTAAATGTTTTTTATGTTTATATTTGAATTCAAAGGATTTATTTTTAAAGTTACACTGATATATTAGTATATCAGAGTAACTTTAATAAAACATAAGAATTTAACAATTTATTTTTTTATTTATTTTACAGAGTTTCATGTAAATAATCGTAAGTCGACTGGCTGTCTAATGAATAGACCGAGATTTATAGATTTTAAAGCCAAAGGAAAAAAATATCAAACAACGAATACATACCATATATTTTTCTTTTATCTAAGATATGTACATACCTTATCGTCTTTTGGAAACACGTACATTTTTGCAGTTTTGTTAGTTTCTTTGCAAGATGCAACACAACAAGAAAACACCATTTTTACAGTTAATAAATAATAAAACTATTTCTGACTATGATATTTAAAATTTAGATAGATAAAAAAATTAAAAAACAAACCGGTATTTGCAAACGCAGGCCCAAATTCAATAAAAATCAAAATTTTTCCTGCGAAAATCAGGCTTTTTTTCACTGAAAAGGTATTTTTTGATTTATCAGCAGTCATTGTCAAGTTGACAATATACAGGGTGTTTTCGAATTAGTCTAAAAAAATTACGGTGTGTCCTCATGTGTTCTTAAAACAATTTTTATATAACCATTGGGTCTAAAGTACTTCCTTTCTGATCTACAGGGTGTTAAAAATTAAAAAAAACGATTTTTTTGCTTAACATAAATGGTACACCACTGCTTTTTTAAAGAAAATATTTTTTTTTCTTGACTGGCCATCCTTTTTCAACAAAATTGATCTTTTGAGTTTTTCTTGTTCATCAAACGGTTGTCGAGAAAAAAATAGATATACTTATTAAGAGCCCGCCTTAATTCGTTTTCTAACGATTTTATATTTTTAGATTAATTAGGAAACACCCTGTATATGCATATCATAGGCAACCAAATAAACTAGTAACCTCTAACCTCTAAATAATTTTTCCTACCACTAGCGACATACCGTGTTTTTAGTGTGTACTAAATTATTTTATCAAAATTTCACCATATAAGTTTCCAGGCAATGATCCTAAAAAGTTTGTTTGGTATGAACTGTAATCGTAATCTTTTTGTATATGCCTAGGCCTTTAAATATGCCAGTGGTCTGTATTCCCATGATCAACGTTTTCACACTGTACAAACTAAGTATCAGTGTGAAGAGTGTGGAGTAAATGTGGATGGATATGGTGCATTTCAGAGGCATTCAAGGATGCATAGAGGTATGAAAAATAAACTCACAAAAACCGGCCACTAAAAACTAGACCCAATTTCAAAGTTGGATTTCTCGCGAACCACTCATTAGATTTTGATGATTTTTTTTTAAATTGTAAATTAATTCCTTTTTAACGGATGCTACTTTAGAAATTTTTATTCCGAATTTATTTTGAGCATATACAGGGCACAACAATAAGACGAAGTTTTCTGCCCGAACTTTGTAACACTCTGTAGGGTGCAGCAGCGGTAGTAGCTATTGCTAAATTAAATCACATTGTAGCCTCATCTTTTGTGAGCATTTTGTTTTTTTTAATCACCTCATTATCTCTTTTTGTATTGGAGATATGCTGTTTTAAAACGAACGCCTCGGAAAAATGCTTCGCGGGCAGAAAGTTTTATGTGTAAGGGCTCAAACACACTGACGACCAGGTCGCACCGGCCAGGCCGCAGCTACCTCTAAAACCATTAAATCAAATGATATAGCGCAGACTAACGTCCTGGCCGTCCGTTGGTCGTTGCGACCAGAAGACTGCACGGAAAGATTATTATTTTCTGCCGCTTGTTGCCGGTTTTCTTCCAAATTAATAATTTTTCAGATGAAATCCCTCAAATTCAAGGCACAATATTTTATTTTCTATAAGATATAGTGTTTTAGTGTAGTTTTTGCACACGTGCAGAAAATCCAAAGAAATAGTATACAGACTGGATCAAAAGTAAACTTAAATCTAATCCCTTTTTTTTATCAAGGGTCGATTCTAGTAAAAACTCAAAACATTTTTATATGACATACTACTCTATTTATGGTTGGTATGATACCTGTTATTATACCTTTGAGTTTCGATGTTTAAAAAATAAATAAAATAATATTTAAAGTTTTTCTACAACCACTTGTTTTTTTATTAAATTAGTTTTTTTAGTTGTATTGTAGTCATGTACAAGGAGGACAACTGTATTTTAAATATGATATTTAATTTTTCAAAACAATTTTTCATATATATATATATATTCGATGTTTAAAAATATACATAAATAATATTTAAAGTATTTCTACAACCCCTTGTTTTTATATTAAATTAGTTTTTATATGTATATATAGTCATATACATAGGAGGACAACTGTATATTTAAATATGATATTTAATTTAACGTTTTTCAAATTATTCATTAGACTATATATATATAGGTACATTATTTTGAAAAAAAAATTAAGAAAGTAACTTAAACATTCATAAAAATAGAAGTAATTACTGTTGTAGATTCTTCGTTATATTGTAAACATTGAAATAACTGGAAGCTAAACTTTCTACCTGCTTATATTTAGAGCCAGTGTCTGACCATCTTTTTTTACGATGACCCTAATATATTTACTTCTTAAGTCGATAAGGGCGCCATATCAGTAGAAAAAAGAAACAGAATATCTCCCTTTTTGTCGGTCGCGCGTACACAATGCTTTTTGTTTGTTGTGAATAGCAACTTCGCTTTTTAGTTAACTCGGATATTTTAACATTTCTGAAACAATACTTTCTAATTGGTAAAACGTAAAAAATCGTTTGATTTGACAACTCTGTTGAAACTGGTCGTTCATCTGGCCGCAGCTAAAAACGCAATACATCCGGCCAGCCGACGGCCAGGTCGTTGCAACCTGGTCGTCAGTGAGTTCGAGCCCTAAATAATCAAGGCGACATAGGCGAAAACGGATTTAGTGGCCGTTTTTTTTGCCGGTGAGTTTAGTATTTTATTTTTCCAAAAAAATCCTTAATGGGTATTTCGCCACTGCACTGCAAGAAAATCTACAAGATAAAATAAATATTTTTTGTAAACACTTCTGCTAAAGGGACGCTGCTTGTCAGAAGTTATGTTTATAGTAATACAAATTTGCCTAACAAAGAAAAAAAATGCTTAACGTTTTTTTTTTATCTCTTTCCGTCGTCGGAAGCAAAAAAATACAAAGAATAAAGAAAAAAACTATTTAAAATATTGAAATTCAACTATTCGAGAACACTTTACTTGTTTAAAACAGATATCTACAAAACCGTTGACGTTCTGTTAAAATGACATTTTTAATTTGATATTTAAACTTCAAAATTAACAATTACTACCTGATAACAATTACTTAATAAGGTAAAACCAAAAAGCCCCAAACTTTCTGTATGATTATTTTTAAATTTTACGTACCTATGTTATGTTTATTTATCTTGTTGTATCTATTGTTCTTTAAAATCAAAGAATGGATTGCCATACATTACTAACATCTACAGATGCATGAGCAATACATTTATTTTTATTATATTGAATTAAAAAAGCCTCTTTTATTTTTCTTTTAGAGGCTATCGCTTCTTTCATTATAATTTTGGCGTTATTAAAATTTATTCTGTGCCCTGTGTCCCAAGAATGCTGACAAATCTTAGATTTGTGAAAATCTCCCTTTCTTAAATACCAAGGCAAAACAAAATGTTGAAATTTGGTGAAAGTTTGAAACACCCTGTGGAGTATGTTAAGAGGGCAAGGAATTTAAAAATTATTTTATCATCTAGATACATCCTTTCTCGATAGTTTGTTTTTTGGTTCATCTCGATAGCTTTATTTTTGTTGGAGTTATTCGCTTTTGAAGTAGACAGTAACATTTTTTCGTAATTTTTACATTAAAACCATGCTTTCTGTTGCTTTTGCCAACACATGCTAACTTTTATTGATTTCCCTATGTTTAAACTTTGCAGAAAGGACAACTCACATGTGCGAACTTTGTGGCAAATGTTACTTAGCTAGTATGTCGTTAAAGCGGCACAAAAAAAAAGTTCACTTACGGTCGTACCATTGCGAATGGTGTACCGAATCATTTAAGTATGAAATTAACCTTGACAAGCACTTAAAAACCTGCCATAAAAATGTGAAGCACTTTAAATGCGACGTGTGTAACAAAAGGTAAGTTTTAATCAATTTAAGGGACCTGTTTATATTGAAATTCGTTCATTATTGTAGATTCAGGTTGCAAACCCTTTTAAAATTGCACAAGATAAGGCATAAAGAGGAGAATGGAGAAGGTATTGTTGGATTACCGATTAAGTAAATAAAAAACGTACTTACAAAAATGTTTAATAATATATATTCTAATTTCTTTCATTTGTAATTTTATTTTCCAACATTAATTTATTTACTATTGCCGTCCTTGTTTACTTTTGTATTTGTCTTTGTTTAATAGTTTACCATAGATTATAATCTGGACCCTCTTCTTTTGATTTTTTTCTGGACACTGGCCAAATGACCTCAATAAAGCTGAAGCCATTTGAAAATAAAGAAGAAAAAAAATTATGTCAGATCTGTGGTTGCCGATGTTTTGGAACCATAAACATAAAAAGAAGAAGAACATTACTCTTACTCTGTGGTTACTGTTCCTTTAAGCCCTGAAATATGAAAAAGAAGAAGAATGCAGGTGGCGCCATTATGGAAAATGTGAGAAAATTTTGAACTAAAATGTTTCCAATGTTGCCAAATTATTAGCGAAATCCTGAAACTAATCTGAATTAATATTTTTGTAAGTCTAAAATGAATTGAACCGTTACAAAATGATGATAAATCTAATAAAAATATAACACAAACTTTGTTTCGGTAAAATAAATCATATAATTTATTTTAGACACATTATTATTTATGCAACAAAAAATGATAATTATGTTTTAAATGTGTTCAAACTGACAACGTTGACATTTGACATGCGCCATTGTGTGCGCCATTTTCCGTTATCAGCTGCAAGTTGTTTATGATTATGTCGCTTACAATTTTTCCATTTTTTTGATAGAAAAAGTGATTTTTCTGTACACTGTTTGAGTGTATTCTGTTCCTTAAGGCCTGAATAATCTTCTGAAAATGTAAGTACCCATGATTTTGTGCGCTTCTATAGTTTTTTTCACTCTCAAATATTTCAATTGCATCATCATTAAAACCTGATACATTTTTCCCATTTTCGTAATTTTCCTTTTCTAAATTGTATATGGAAACATAAATACTTTCCCTGATGACCCTATTGTACATTAAAGAAATAGTTACTTAGAATAATGCGGAATATTTCGAGATATTTGGACCATTTTTTTGGCGTACAGTACAAAGTTTTTTTATTCCTAAAGATAATTTTTTAGGTGTTTATTCGTACAGGCAATCTAGTATTTTCTACGTTGTTTAGAATAAGCAGGTGTTAGTATGCCTAAAGAGGCATTCTCATTAGTTATATAATACTTTCAGATAAAGTAAAATACTTTTAATATTATACCGTCGTCACATTTTTTTGAAACAATTTTTGCTTTGTTTTAACATGCTGTTTAATTATATTTTTTTTTTCTTTTTTAGGAGCCTCAATAATAACACACTGGCATATAAAGACCACTTAATAGAAGAATCTTTGGGTTACCCCTTATATAATCCTGATATTTGGTCATCGTTCTATTTTACGAGTTGGTCTTTCATGACTAGATTAAAAGTAAGTTTAATTTATTTTTGAAAAATAATTTGAATAAATTTTATGTATGTATGTATATAAATGTTTATTAACAGAGTAACTATAATTTTTAAGATATATTTAATATTAATATGAAAAAAAATCAAAATAGACTGAATAACCAAAATCTAATTTTATTTATTTCTTTTTTACAGATTTTCTACAACAAATCTATGAATGAATGCAGTTCCAGGGTAGTACATTTATCCTTTTGTTGAATATTACCAAGAATATGCATCAGAACTTATAAGTATAGTATCTAAAATTTTATTTTTTTTGGGTAAATACATATATTTTTACTGGTTTTTAATGTTCATCAGTAGATTTCACCATTTTTAAATTTAGTTAGGCAGGAAAAAACTCCAAGGGTCTCTGAGTTACATTTTTATGATTCATTATTATCATAGAAAAATGCAGACCCATCTATTTTTAATTTGAGCTCAATTTTGGCTTTTGACGACTTCTTTTTTTTTGGTAAGATACTATCTCAAAACTTTGCTTCCTTATTAGCTTGACTTCGATATTTTCTTGATTGTCGAAATAATATCACCATTTACTCAGTTCTGTAAAATATCCCATTAACTGTATTTCTATAGGTCTGATTTCTCGGTAAAGTCAAAGGTTATTATAAAATATACCATCTACTTAAAACTTTCCTTCATGTTGTTTTGGTTTACTTTTATTTCTTCATAATAGCTTGCCTCCCATATTATCTTGTTTGTGGGAAAAATAACATTCATCAGTTGTATAAAATATTCCCTTTGCTGCATTTCTATAGGTCTTATTTGTTTGGTTAAATCCTTGATTATGGATAATATATAGACAAGGATAAAATAGACCATCTACTACTTAGAATTTTACTTTATTTTGTTTATGGTTAATTTTAATTTTTCTATAATAGCTTGACTCCCATATATTCTTCATTGTGGCAATAATAACATCATTCATTTTTTGTATTTCTATAAGTCTTCTTTTATTTGTATTATTTTCTTATTGTGTCATTTTTCTAATACTTTTTTTCTCTAATAATTCCTTGTACAGAATTCCAGTTTTAATGGATTCATTTCCATGTCATTTTTTTCAGATCATGTGCCATGCATTTCTGTAATTTTACGGATTTTATTTGTTTATTTTGCATGTGTTTAAATATAATTTAGACACACTTAAAAATCTCACAATAAGGACTAATTTCCTTAACTAATTTCCGATAAATTCCTGGCGCATTCGCCATTTAGTAAAAGTCTGACGTCCACAGCTGATGTCACTTCTAGCTTTTCTAGCACTTTGCTAATGAATTTTCCTGAGTAACATCGATTCCAGAGCATCATAGCTAGCCTCCCCTAAGAGGAGGAAACCCGGGTCACCCCCTAACCCTGATGTTCGGGCATCGATGACCTATGTAGCATGCATAGGTACCCAAGGGAGTCACCACCCTCTGGTTTACGAGCTAGGTGTTCTAACGCTAGAGGCTTCGGCCGGATACGACCTGACACCCAAGCTACGGGACTTCTTCGTGCACGTATCCCGTGACGTCTCGACAGTAGAGGGGGCGGGATATCGGACACATTGAAGATGAGGAGGGGGGTCCGCCTGTAGGGGGTCCCGGTGGATGTCCGTTCGACGGGTGACGAGGGTGACCCGAGACGAGGCTGCTTAGCTGGGATGGGAACTGACTGGCGAGGCTTAATCGTCGGCCAACGGTTAAATCTGATGAAGGGTGGCGAACCTATATGCTCTGGAGGTTTTTTCTTTATGTGTTTGATGTCAAATATTGACTAGATATTTCTGAGAGGAGGCTAAGTATAGATTTTTGTCAATTTTCCAGTTCTTATTGATCACATACCTCTTTATTTTTTAATATCATCTAAAACTTCTTGTCCTATCTTGCTCTTGACCTACCTCTCACTATTATTGTCTGCCATATTTTATTAATTATTGGAATATCTTCATTTATCAATTCTATAAACTCTTCCAATGATTGTTTTCTTAAGACATAATATTTCAACATTTCTATTGCCTGTATAGAATTATATTTTTTATTTGTTTTATGCATTTTTTTCAATTCATCATATTTCTATTTTACTATTTGTCTCCCATAGTTTCTTCTTTATGGGAATGCCATTATTTACCAATTCTTTAAACTCTTTTATTGATAGCATGTCTCTAAATTTTCTTTATGTAGTTTAAATTTTTTGTGTCATTCTGAGATTGTTCATTATTTCTATGACCTGTATAGAATTATAGTTCTTTTTATTTATTTTTATGCTGTTTTTTCAATTGCATCATATCTCTATTTTTTTTGTACATTGTTTGCCTCCCATAATTTCTTCCTTATGGGAATGTCATCATACATCAATTATTGTATTAACTCTTGCATTGATTGTATTTCAATTCTTATTTGTATATAATTAAATAATTTTTAGTGATCTTTTTCTGAAACTTGACTTCTGAACATCTCTCATTTTCATACAATTTTTGCAGTTTATTTTATCCTCTATTTGTCTTTCATATTGTCTCCATTCTGGGGGGTGCAAAGCTAGTTCGCCTCTAAATGAACTAGCCTCCTGATCATATGACACATTTCATAAAGTTTCACTTTTTTTAAGAGATATGATGCTATCCAAAAAGACTAACGGTCTTTCCCTTTATTATTTTTCTTCTATATTGATTGTATTTCTTAATCTTTTCATTTATGTGTATTATTGTTTATTTTACTGCCATTCTTCTAAGACTTCTAAGTCTTTGATTTTATTCTTATTGATGTCTACATGGTTTTGTATTCATTTTCTAATTTTTCTTTTTTTTTTTGATGCCGTTTTTGATTCATTTTTTGATCAGTTTTTCAATGGGATATTGTACTGCTTTGGAACAAAGATTTTATGGAACCATTGTATTTCAATCCAACCACCCTATTCAAGATGCCATTACGTTGATTAAATGCAACATTCAACAGTGAAATGAGGATGAAATTGACCAATGAAGAGGAACTAGATATTTTTAGGTAAATTATTCTAAAAAATTTTTTAATCAAATATATTTAATAAATACCTAATATTGTATATTGTAACTATAAATTATAGTGAAATATAATACTATTTATTTCTTTTTTTACAGATTTTGCACGACAAAGATGGATGTATACAGTTCCAGGGCAGTACATTTATCCATTTCATGAATATTACCAACAATGCATCAGGCCTTATAAGTATATCTAAAATTTTATTTCTTTTGGGCGAATAAGTATATTTTTACTGGTTTTTAATGTTCATCAGTGGATTTCATAATTTTTAAATTTAATTAAATAAGAAAAATATTTTCAATGGGTCTCTGAGTTATATTTTTTATGGTTCCTTATTATCTTAGACAAATTCAAGCTATCTATTTTTATTTTGGGCCAATTTTCTGCTTTTTGTCACTTCTTTTTCTTTTTGGTATGATACTATGTACTTAGAACTTTATGTTGTTGAATGGTTAACTGTCATTTTTCTATAATGGTTTGACTCCATATATTTCTTCATTATGGGAATGGTATAACATCATTCATCGATTCTATAAAATCTTCCATTAATTGTATCTCGATAAGTCTTCTTTTATTTGTATTATTTTCTTATGGTGTCATTTTTCTAATACTTTTTTTGCTCTTGTAATTCCTTGTACAGAATTTCAGTTTTAATGAATTCATTTCCATGTCATTTTTTTCAGATCATTTGCCATGAATTTCTGTAATTTTACGGATTTTATTTGTTTATTTTACATGTGTTTAAATATAATTTTAAACACACTTAAAAATCTCACAATAAGGACCAATTTCCGGTCATGTCCTGGCGCATTCGCCATTTAGTAAAAAACTCACGTCCACAGCTGATGTCACTTATGGCCTTTCTAGCATTTTGCTAATGAATTTTCCTGAGTAACATCGACTCCAGAGCATCATAGCTAGCCTCCCCTAAGAGGAGGAGACCCGGGTCACCCCCTAACCCTGATGTTCGGCCATCGATGACCTATGTAGCATGCATAGGTACCCAAGGGAGTCACCACCCTCTGGTTTACGAGCTAGGTGTTCTAACGCTAGAGGCTTCGGCCGGATACGACCTGGCACCCAAGCTACGAGACTTCTTCGTGCACGTATCCCGTGACGTCTCGACAGTAGAGGGGGCGGGATATTGGACACATTGAAGATGATGAGGGGGGTCCGCCTGTAGGGGGTCCCGGTGGATGTCCGCTCGATGGGCGACGAGGGTGACCCGAGACGAGGCTGCTTAGCTAGGATGGGAACTGACTGGTGAGGCTTAATCGTCGGGCAAGGGTTAAATCTGATGAAGGGGGGCGAAACTATATGCTCTGGAGGATTTTTTCTTTTTGTGCTTGATGTCAAATATTGACTAGATATTTCTGAGGGGAGGCTATGTATAACTTTTTGTCAATTCCCCAGTTCTTTTTGACCAGATACTTCTATATTTTATCGCTTGCTTTTGGTCTACCTCTGTTATACAATTTTTATCTGTCATGTATTCATTGTCTTATATATTTGTATAAAAGTACATCACTCATTTTCAACCATTTTTTTTCAATTCCTCCATATCTATTTCTGTATTTGTCTCTCATATTATTATCTTCATTCTATGAAATTATTAATTTATTTGTAAGTTGTCAGTCCTGGTATTGGGCCATTCTGTGTCAAGACTTCTCTGAGGCATGTTATTGCTATTATCTATATAGATAGAGTTGTAAGTTTGGAATCATTTTCATGACTTTCAATTCATCATACCATACAGAGTGAAATTAAGTTTACTTTTTCTTAAATATAATTAATTTTTCTTCTATGTTGTTTGTATTTCTAAATATTTCCTTCATATGGAATATTGTTTATTTTTCTGCCATTCCTCTAAGACTTCTAAGAAACTAAGAAGTGATCTCATTTCTATTGATGCCTGTATTTAAAATGTGCCCTTTTAAAATTGAGTTGTTCTATGGGATATTGTACTGCTTTGGAACAAAGACAACTGCAGTTCAACCATTCTCTTCAAGATATTCAATAAGATTAATTAAATTCAACATTGAAGAGGAAGAGCTGATTGAGAATGCAATTCGTCAATTGAAGAGGAAACTAGATAGTTTTAGGTAAATTATATTAAAAAGTGTTTTTTTTTAAGTCAGATATATTAAAGAAATACCTAATATTATTGTATTTTGTAAAATGTGTAAGATATAAATAGTAAAATTTCAAATAAAATAATTTGGCGCGTTATTTACTTTGGTATAGGCAACTAAACATACATCAAAAATTTACATTTTTATTAAAATATTTTTTAGTTACAATTACAACTAACTTAACTATGTTTTTTCCTTGTATTACTATTAAAAAAAGTTCTTTATGTTACGAAAATGTCTATATATCTTATAATATTTTATGTACCATATAAATTAACTGGTTATTTAAAGTTATAGAGTAGTTTTTTTATCAAGCTTATTAGTATACAAATAATCGTTTTTTTATACTTTTATTACAGAATTACTTTCCAAGACGTCCACTCGGACTTTCCAGAAGGGTAGCTAGAAGATTTATTTACTGCCACATAGACCTCAGCATGTTCAGCCAACACCTTAGATGTTAATATAGTTTTTATATTACTATTGTTAAAAAATGTTATATGTTAATAAGTAAAAATTATATTTTACCTTTAGATATATTTTATAGAGTTAATAAGTTCAAAATATTATTTATAATTTGGAAAAAATGTTAGTGTAAAAATATGATTCACTCTGTTTCTTTTAATTAGATAAAATAATAAGATATGTAAACATATACTGCCCTGTTAACGAAAAACTTCTTATATGATGTATTGAACAAGTTAAGATCATTTTTGTTTATTTATAAATAAGATACTTTTATATAAAAACAACATGTCTACAGATTTCCTTGGGCTGGAAAACGCCATAATTGTCTTAATAACACACTTTTAATTTCAATTGTAGTTACGGCAGTTTCCCTTAACACGACAGTATATTATAATTATTGTGCATAATTAGAATAGAATATAATAAAAAGCATTAGAAATATTTATTATTAGACCTAATATATACCAATTATTTACCATGTCACTTGATTGTAACGTTTATAATAAACATATTTGTATAAACATACAACATGAATGTCCTACCTGATTATTTTTTAATAAATATTTTAATATATTAAACATGAGTTTTACTTATAGCATAATTGCTTTACTATAACAATTAATAGAAAAAGAAACTCTTAGAGCTCTTATTAAATATAAAAATAAAAATAAAATAGCAGCCTAAAATATATATAATGGCATACTAAAAATATAATCGCAATATAATATACCTATACGTTAAAAAACATAAACCTGAAAAGTATATCTCATTTCTGTTCAAAATGAAATTTTTGATGACAAAAATGCGCCAGATTTGGTTGCCCAGTACGAAATTTTTCATCACCTCGATCAAATTTTTAATACTAAAGAGAAACGCTGAATTTTGTTGACTCTAAGACTTTGACCTCGTTTTCGAAATTAAAACGCTAATAACTCCGTAACTAAAAGAGCTACAGGGGCGCGCTTGGCGCCAATCGATAGAGAATTCAACCCTCTATCTGTACAAAAAATTACAACCCCCTACGACACCCTTTGTTTTTTGGGCCAAAAATTTTCTAAGGTTAACCCCTTTGCTCATTTTTGCTACAAAAAATAAAGTGTTTCGTAGGGGGTTGTAATTTTGTGTACAGATAGAGGGTTGAATTCCCTATCGATTGCGACTTAGCGCGCCCCCATATCTTAATTAGTTTTCGAGTAATTAACGTTTTTGTAAATGAGTCTAACTGTTTGAGCTCGTTGGCCAACGATTTCCGATTTAATTAACTTGACAAAAATATTTTTAAAAATGCTCATTTTTGGTGCTAGATGTTACGGTTTTGAGGTAAAAGAAATCAAATCTTTATAGAATATCGTATGGTTCTAGACTATGAGAGAGTGTATATGTTATTAAATTAATGTACTAATATTAAAGGCAACTAGATTAAGACTTATTGAATTTATTTTTAAAAATATTTTAATTTTTGTTTGTTTTAGCAAATACATCAATATTTAATGTTAATTAAGTTGCTTTAAATTTAAAGACTATTCAAAGAGGGTTCAAAGGAAACTCTGAAAAATTTATTAAGGTTTATTAGAAAAAGAATAGTTTATAAATACAATTTATTATAAATATATTTTTAGACATATACAGCACAAACAGCATGGATTGCTCGTTGATTCTTCTACAGAATTTTCTTTCTGATGTATACGGGATGTTCATATTTACAATAACTTGCAAATATTTCTGAAAAAAGAATAAAAAAGTATTTATACAGGGTAACCCAGAGTTGCGAAAAAGTGCTCCATATCAGGTCCTTTTCAGATACTTTCATTACTTAAATATTTTTACAAATATATAAGGACGATGGTAGCATACATTTTTAATTATTAATATATCATTTTCATATGTGAACATACAGTAAATGAACATAATGATATGTGTGTTTTCTAGCATTATTAATATTTCATTTGCATTGTTTTTGCTATTTACTTTTAAAATTCGATCAAATAAAAACACACACACACACACACACCGAAACAATGGAAAAAAATGGTTTTACCTTATACAATGCAATCATATCTTCCTAACAATAATGCATTTCCAAAAGAGTAATTTCAAATTATCTTTATATCAAAGAAAAAAGCAGGTTTGGTTAGCTTGGGACGTACAGCATAGAGTATGTATGTATGTTCGAGAGTATAATTTTCTGAAGAGGTACTTGAAGAAATGATTGGAAGGCAACGATTATAAGCAAAAACCATCTTGCGGATTCGTTTTTTCAACTGGATTCGAATCTTGTTGATCCCGTTTTACTCTTTCTTGTCCCACATTTTCATTGAAAAGCAGGGTACAATCGAAGATGTTTTCTTATGAGATTCTATACAAGTCCACATCCTACTAAAGGAAAATCTTATTTCTTCCCATTTTTCTTGCTGTATTCTCGTTCCTTGTCTTCATAAGAAGCTCTTATTATCACTGTATTCTTACATATCTGTATCTGAAATAAAAAATGTTACGTCTTTTAAATATACTCATTGTCTTCACAGATTACACTTAAAAATACGAATTGTAGTTAAATAATACTAAAAAGATAGTTATAAAATAAATAACATAGATCGTACATTTTAATTTAACCAGTAGATTTGTTATGAAACTGAAAAAAAACTAATTTATTTTACTTTTAACAAACACAAAAAAAATATATTTTCCACGGTTAGAATCAAATTTAGTATAAAATTTTATTCATAGATGGCTCTCTCAAAAAACTTTTTGGGAATTAAAAATTGCAGATTTCTTTAAAATTCTAAGAAAATTATTACTAAAGTTCAGCTATTTACCGTTAGAGAGCACTAACTGTTTGTACTTATTATAGAAATCTATAAATAGCTAGTTTCGATACTTAAACCATGATGGCGCCACACGTATATAATGATAACAGAAACCTGTAATTCTTTACTTTCAGAATTTTCCGAAAGGCGGCGCCATAATCGTTTAGCCGTTAGTTCCGAAAACTCTCACTAAATTAATATGGCGCTGTAATCAATTACGCGCGCCAAAGGAAAAATTTGAATAGACGGGAAGCATTTTTAATAAGTAAATGTAGGACTTTCTTGTAATTTCTTCACTGTATACACGCGCAGTAACATAAAATACAAAACTTACCAATTAAAGAAGTTGTTTAACACTTCTTGTTATAGATTCATCATTAGTAAATTAAGTATAACGAATAAATAAATCAAATAAGTAAAAAAAAAGACTCTAAACAGTGAATATTACCTCATTTATTTTAATGGCTTTTACTGACAGTTAGCCTTAAGGTTGAAATTTATTTTTAGACTGAGTAAAAATGATTTTTAAATGGTGTAGTTTGAAATTCAAAAAAAAAACGTTTTTGGAAATAGATTTGCATCTGTAAACGTTCTATTCTTTTTAATCTTTCTATAATTAATGTTAATTTTCGACAAGTCTTACGTCAATTTTTAGGAAATGACGTCTAGAGATTGACCTCGCCAAAATTATCATCGATTGTCATTCCCAACTCTCTTTGACACCGTTTTTTTTTTCGATAATACGGTATACAGGGTGGTCCAAACCGTATTCCGGATAATTTGGCAACATATTCTGCAGATAAAATAGTTTGTATAAATGTATGTCCTAAAATGCTTAGTTTTGGAGATACAGGGTGTAGAAGTTTCATTTCTATTTCGATTTTTTCCAAATAATTTCTGAAAATTGGTGTTTGGGAGTTTTTTAACATGAGAAATCGAAACTAAGCATTTTAGGACATATAATTTATATATAATATGCTGCCAAAGTTTCCGGAATACAGTTCGGACCACCCTGTATAAGAAAGAGCAAGAAGAAACCATACTCGGTACTCCAGTAAGCGTTAGAGTAAATGATCTATAAAAAAAGAAAAAAAAAGCAACTTTGAATAAAATTTATTTAAAATAACTAAATATAGGTACAATATCATGACTTTTTTCGTCTCAAACGTTTACGTTGTTCATTGTGACTTCTTCTGTGCACTGAGAAATTCCCATTATCGCGAAACCTATTAAAAAATCATTTTTTTTCTGTGTCTACCCCGAATTCAAAACTACATAAATAGATCCTAGAAAAATAAGTAAATATAGAGGAATCGAAAAAAAACGCAACCTCTACTAACGTTTACTTATTTCTCTAAAAAATAAACGAAAAAAACCTACCGTTTGCCGCACAGATCGCACTGGTATCGCAAAAAATCCGAATGTAGAGCCACGTGTTTTTCCAGGTAAACTCTCCGGTTAAACGTCTTTTGACAGACGGGACATGTTGTACCGTGCACTTTCCTGTGCAACTTCATTTCGTCTCTGGTCGGAAACTCCTCCTGGCAAATTTTACAGATCGAATTGGTGCCGGAAAATGCCTTTTTTTCGCACACGTCCATATGGAATTTTAATAGACAATTCTTGGCCGTCGTGTAACCGCAATGAGCACACTTAAACCTTTTCGAGTGTCTTTGCTGATGGCTCATGAAATAAGACAAGGTTTTAAAACTCTAGAAAAAAATCATAACATAATTATATATCGCTTATACCATAAGATCGAAAAAAACAGCGTCAAAGATGGCTGTGAAATGACCATCAATAGTAATTTTGACGAGGTCAAGCCCTAGACATCAATTACATTTTTTGTCACTGCTGGGACCTGGTGATTTTGCCTCTGCGGGAACCTGTTGATTTTGCCACTGCGGGGACCTAGTGATTTTCCCACTGCGGGACCTGGTGGTTTTGCCTCTGCGGGGAAATAGTAGTGATTTTGCTACTGCGGGGACCTGGTGATTTTGTCACTGCCAGGACCTGGTGATTTTGCACCTGCGTGGACCTTGTGATTTTGTAACTGCGGGGACCTGGTGATTTTCCCACTGCGGGACCTGGTGGTTTTGCCTCAGCGGGGTCCTATTGATTTTGCTACTGCGAGGACCTGGTGATTTTGTCACTGCCGGGAACTGGTGATTTTGCACCTGCGTGGACCTGGTGATTTTGTAACTGCGGGGACCTGGTAATATTGCCACTGCGGGGACCTGGTGATTTAGCCACTGCGGGGACCTGTTGATTTTGCTACTGCGGGGACCTGGTGATTTTGTCACTGCCGGGACCTGGTGATTCTACACCTGCGTGGACCTGGTGATTTTGTAACTGCGGGGACCTGGAGATCTTCCCACTGCGGAGACCTGGTGATTTTCCCACTGCGGGGACCTGGGGATTTTCCCAATGCGGGGGCCTGGTAATATTGCCACTGCGGGGACCTAGTGATTTCGCCACTGCGGGAACCTGGTGATTTAGCCACTGCGGGGACCTGGTTACTTAGCCGGTGCGGGGTCCTGGTGATTTTGTCACTGCAGTACCTGGTGATTTGGTCACTGCAGGGATATGGTGATTTTCCAAATGCGGGGACCTGGTGACTTTGCTACTGCGGGGACCTGATGATTTTTCCACTGCGGGGACCTGGTGATTTCGCCACTGCGGGTACTTGGTAATTTAGCCACTGGGGGGCCTGGTGACTTTGCCAGTGCGGGGACCTGGTGGTTTTGTCACTGCGGGGCCTGGTGATTTTGCCACTGCAGAGACCTGGTGATTTTGCCACTGCAGGGTCCTGGTGATTTTCCTACTGCGGGGACCTGCTGATTTTGCCACTGCGGGGACCTGGTGATTTTCATGTAAAAATAATTTTTAATCAACATAAAAATAAATTACAACCTTCCTAAGGCTAGCTGGCAGTAAGCTCCATTAAAAAAATAAAGAAGAATACAGGCCAAATAAATGAAATCTAGAGCTTCACCTCACCCAAATTATCATAGATTGTCATTTGACGTCGTTTTTTTAGATCGTACAGCACTTTACCTTTGCACAAATATCACAAAGATAATTTCTCGTTTATTTTACACAAAAATGTAAAATTCTTGCAAATTTTGAAAAGCGTCCATCCAGTCAAATTGAGTAGGTCAAATATACAAACCACAGATCAAAATTGATATTTTTGAACAAAGATGACGTTTACGAAACTAAAATCTAAAAGCAATTTAAAAGTCTTTTAAACTAGCTTTTAAATGTTTTTGAAATCTGGTAATAGTATAAAACATATTAAAATCCAAGGTGTTGACGGAAATAATATTGTTCTGGTCGATACATATTAAATATTATACCGTTTAATTGTATTAAAACGGCAACTGTGATCTCTGAATATTAACAATGTCTGATAAAATTTTGTATACCTCCGATTTTAAAAAGTTTTGTAGGACATGTTTGTTACCATTCGATGAACAACAAACTTTTTCAATGTACGACACCCTTGTTGCTAAACACTTGAGCAAAATAACACAAGTTCAAGTAATGAAAATACCTTTACTCGCCTATACCGAATATTATAGGAGTACAACGTTTTTAGTTTGTACATCATTCAGCATTGTCTACAGAATTGTGTTTGAAATGTTATCAGCACCTAAAAACAGCGATAGATTTCAGAGAGCGAGTAAAAAAAATTGAATCTCAAATGCAACAAATTGTGATATTACTGAACGAAGCCAGTAAAAATCCTAATGTTGAAATTGTTGAGCCTGATAGTGATAATTCTGTAGAGAATAATGTAGATAATAATATAGAAGAGGTAAATTTGACTTCAATTTTTTTGTTTTAACAGATTGTAGATCTTTTATTTGTGTAAAATATTTAATATCGGTAGAATTATAAAATAAACAGTATATTATTAATGATGTACAGCTCTAACATGTAGTAAATTGTTATTTTTTTAGGCTAATACACAAATGAGGGAAGATTTACAATGTACAAATGATAATGAATGTGTTACAGAATTTGAGGAAGATACATATAACGTTCAAAATGATGTAAGTATGTTTAGTATGCTATTAGAATATTCTATAAGTATTAAATTTTGTAATAGAAATATAATTATTTAAATTTCTTTTAGGTAACTGTAAAAATTGAGAATGATATTGAAAGTAATCCTTCTAATCAAGAAGGTGATGTAAGTATAATATTATATTGTTTTTCTAGAATTTGCAAAATTTCATTTGGCAACCTTATCCTGTGATACAGTAACCTAATTTTTTTATTTGTGTTCAAGAAAGGTAAAGCGCCAACTCCAAGGAAAGCATTAGCATGTTCGTATTGTGGGAAAGAATTTAAAAGCCGAAGTAACGTTTTGTACCATGAAAAAGCCATTCACGCAAGGGAAAAGAAACACAAATGCACCATGTGCGGTACTGATTTGTTATTTTATAACGAATACGATTTAATGAAAATCATTTCTCATTTTTAAGATAAATCGTTTATGCGCAGGAAGTTTTTACAACGTCATATCAATATGCACACGAATACCAAGCCTTTTTCCTGTAAAATTTGTAAGAAAAGGTATTATTCCCAGCACGATTTGGATAATCACAAGATTCAGCATTCTGATGTGAAACAATATATGTGTGACATTTGCTCAAAGGTAATAGACAAATTATTATATCAGTCTGTCCAAGTGAGGTGGATATAGAATTTTGGCAGACAATATCCAAAAAGTTCAGAAAAATTATTTTTTTATTGAAATGAAAATGACAGACTGTCACCTGTCACTTTCTTTTGCTGGACAGACTGTACAGGGTGTCCCATGTTCATGTGTTTTATAGGGTTTTCTTGTTTATGAGTAGAGTTTGTTGTTTTTTTATTTTATTGAACTGTCTAAAAATATAATATACTCTATACTTATTTTTAAAACCTTTATACAGTTCCAATAATTAATATTATCTTATTTCTTACAGACATTCAAGACTGCTGGCAATTTCTATCAACATAGAGCAATACACGGCGAAAAAAAATATCAGTGCGAACACTGTGGGTACAAGGCGACATCTGTGACGCTTCTAAAACACCATCTTGTCAGCCATATGGGTATAAATTACTTGTTATTTACTAAATATACAATATACAGGGTGGTATTCGGAAAACTTAGGGATAGCATATTCTGCAGAAAAAAATAAGTAAAAAAGTCCATATCAAAAATCAAATTTCTCGTGGCAAAGACTGAAATTGAAGAAATTATTTGGAAAAAATCGAAATAAAAATGAACCTCTACTGTTTCTTTTACATATTCTACAAAATGTAGAATATGCTACAAAAGTTTCCTTCGAAAACACAATTCAGACCACCCTGTATATACAGTTTTTACTTATATATGATTGATTTTTTAAGATAAGAAAGTTAACATGTTTCTCTTCAAAGAACATAAATGTAATATTTGCGAGAAACATTATGGGCACAAATTTAGGTTAGACCAGCACATGCTGAGCCACACAAAAGAAAAACCTCACAGCTGCGACATTTGTGGAGAAAAGTACGGAATATTTCGCTTTTAGATTATACAGGGTGTGCCGAAATGTTCGCAACAAATGGAGTTATCGGGTTTATCGGAAAAAAATGGGCGCACCCTGTATATATTGTTCGTCCGGTGAAAGAATACACGATTTCGACAGGCCGCAACCATAAAAATACCGATAAAAATTGTTTTGGTATTAAAATGACGAGACTACTGTCATTGTCATATATTCTTTTGCTGGTTAGACTATATGTATACAGGGTGGCGCACCTCATTCGCCTCGGTTGATTATACGAAAACGGAAATATGTAGAAACATATTTTTTTTTGGGTATATGTAGACAGATAATGTGCATAATTTAAAATTATTTTCAAATGTACAGGGTGTGTCAGAGCTAAGATCTAGCAAAGTTATATTTTTTCTTATGGAACACCCGGTATTTTATTTCATTTTTGGATTCTTGGGCATAAAATAAGGCATATATTATAAGGGTTTAATATGTTTAAATGCTTTGGTTTTTGAGATATTTAAATATATTTAAATATGCATGCTATAATAAAAAAGTTTGTCAACACCCTGTACATTACTTTTCAGAGTTAATTCTAGTGTTGACTTTGAAGCCGGGGAAATAAACTTTACTAAAAAAATTATTGCTTCCTTAAACGTATACAGGGGTCTCAAAAATTGCTTGTCTATTTTAAATATTTATTTTACATAAAAACTTCGTTATTTCAAATACAACACCCTGTATTTTTTTAAATAAATCGAAGCAGATTTAAATGCTCTTTCAAACTGTATTAGGGTTTTCTATACCTATGTGGCTCAGATTTGGAATAAAAAGCGATTTTTCAATAAAATTGTAATCAAGATGGCTGGTGTCGCCATGGCAATTTTCTAGTGACACTTACTAGCCATTTTCAAAATCGGTATTAGTTTATGGACTTTACTTAAATTTATAACAGTTTATTTTTATTTAATTTTCCTACTATAGTTTAATAAGTAAGTATTTATTATTTTATCAAGAAAAATAAAGAAGTAGTTTTTTTATTTATATTAGGATGATTTTTAGAAATATTGGATTTTCTATAAAAGAACCGATTAAGGCAAATTCTTTTTCTTCACTTCTAACAACAGATTTCTGCCTAATAGGTTTTTCATATACCACACTATCAGCTCTGCGAAATAGGAAAAGTTGTTCTTCAAAGGAACGTTTGTTAAGAAAATTCCTATTTGGATATGTTGGAGCATAAACCCTTCAGGCTAACTCCCCTAAATATCTCAAAAACCAAAGCTTTTAAACATATTAAACCCTTATAATAAATGCCTTATTTTATGCCCAAGAATCCAAAAATGGAATAAAGAAAAAACATAACTTTGGTATGGATCTTAGTTCTGACACACTCTGTACATTTAAAAATAATTTTAAATTATGCACATTGCCTTCCCACCTGTACCCATAAAATATTTTGTTTCTACATTTTTCCGTTTTCGTATAATCGACCGAGGCGAATGAGGTGCGCCACCCTGTATAGTTCATATCAAATAAACTTTTAGTCACGTGATTAAGCTTGACCGGCACAGCGTTGCCCACTTTATTTTCTTTTAATCAAAATATTTTAGGAAATAAAAATAAATTAATCATACACATATTCAACAGTTTCTATTTATATCAACAAAACCCATTTTCTTAACGGCACTTAAGCGACATAAATGACCATTACTTTCCGTTTAAAATATTCGAATAAAGTTGCGATAAGTTTTTTACGGCTATTAAGCTATCTTGTACACTTCGCACTAAAAGAAGTTCTAAAAAGAACAATATTCGACTGCAAGGTCTGCTAGTAAACATTTTTTAAGCTTAAACGTACCACAATACAATTTATTTAAAACAAAAACTCGTAATACAAAACTCAAGTGTCAAAAAGAATGACAATGTCAGGAAATAAATAAAAAATGTGGCAACTTGACATTTTTTACAGCAGAGCTACCACCTGAATCCGCAGCGCGAAATTTAAATTCTAGTTAGTCAGCCCGGCACCGAATATGTCCATGGTTGGCAACAATGAATTTAAAAATCGCGCCCTCGATTACGTTACTAAAAGTTTAATTGATATCAAACATATATGATCTGTGAAGAATTTCGCTAAGTTTTAATTAAAATTCTTTTCCAGATTCCGATTTAAAGGTAACATTAAGAGACATAAAGCAACCTGTCATTATAGTAATGAATTTAGCCATAAAACTGTTGAGTCTTTGTAAATTGTTTTATAAGAAATATACATATAAGTTTTTTTTACATGAATATATTCTATTATACTGTTTTTATTTTTTTTTAATTATCACTCTGTATTAGAGATGAGACGAATATTCGAAATACTCTGGATGAGAATTAAGCCATTTCATGCCAGTTATAGTTTGTTATGAATAAATAAATATGTTAAAAACCATTGTTGTTTTATTTGAAAATTATTACAAGAAAGAATTTTGCCATAAATTTGAAATGGCTTAATAATTATCAGGATAATCTAATATTTAATGGGGTGATTCCTGTACCTATTCTAAGAAACTAAGAAAAAAACTTAATAGAAATATGAGTTCTAAACGTTTTAAACTGTTTTGAGATACAGGGTGGTAAAATTTTCTAAAAAAATCTATTTTTTTCATATAGAAAACAAATTTCTTGCAGTGTAGGTATATAATAAAATTATAATCAAATTATATAAGGATTCTTGCCACTTTACTGCTTATATAGAAATTTAATTCTACGCTGTGTTTGTCATAATGTGGGTCAACCTGCTCTCACTACCGGTTTCGGAGCCCTACTCCATCATCAGGTGAGCTTGGGCAGATCCAAGAACAGTTAACCGAATAGTACTGTTCATTCAGCCAAAAGTGTCCGCCAGGTGCATGCGAAAACTACTCGCTTTGTGACGTCATTGTAGTCCTTATCCGGCAACCAATAATACACACACGTGCATTATTGGTTGCCGAATGCAAAACGTTCATTATTTAGTTTATTTATTTAAACACCTTATATGTATGCAGTATAGAAAATACTTACTTATTTGAGTACTTCCATATTTTGCTTTAAAATAATTAATAAACAAAATCGTGGGCACTTAGTATGCACTTTGTCACAATCCACAACACAAAATGAACGTATTTATACACTCTATAGCTCTAAAAACTTTAAAGACACCTTTTTCACATTTAAAATTGACAAAATAATTAACTCAAAATTTCTCAGCTGTTATTTTTATAAGTTTACCATAGGCAACTAATAATACACACTATCATGACAAGGCCACGAAGGCTTTGACAAGGACTACAATGACGTCACAACTGTCAGCTGAAGCGCGGGAAGAGGCGAACGTACGTCTTATGAGGATGAGCAATCCTATTAGTTTACTGTTCTTGGAGCAGATCCACAAAATGACAACCACAACGCAGAGATAGTTAATTCCGACTTGTCGGAAAATGTCGGTTAGATATTAAGTCCCGAACGGGAGATAGCGGCCTGCGTGCAATGGTAGTACTTTCGTACCACCGGGGCGCAACTGATGAACTTTGCACGTGATTAACTTTGAGTGACAAGCGATGGCGACAGCGCTGCCAAATTGTGATGAATTTATGAGATGAACCTTAATTTAAAATTGACAAACAATATATTTGTTATATAATTTTTTAAAGAGTTTTACGTTTTATTTTTAATTTAATAACTAATATTTTAGCAATTAACTGATTTATTTGTTTTATAGCTTATTTTACATATTGGCAAAAACTAGTCCATTATGAAGATTATTCGTTTAAATTGTTTATCAGGGAAGCTACAAGCTCTTTGCTTCGACTGTTGAGTTATTAGACTGATTTATTATGAAATAATTTTTTTTTAGAAAATTTTACCACCCTGTACAATACGTCTGTCCGTTCTGTGGCTACAGAAACGATATTCTCTCGATGTTTTTCGTCAAAAATTAGACGACGCGTCCCATCAATAAAAATTCGACAAATTTGCAAGTAGCCAATAAAATGAGTGGGCGGAGCGATTTGCGGTGACGTACTCGTCAAGTCGACGTATAAAATATATTGCTGTTTATTTAAATGTTTTTTGTCCGCATTCCTTTCATAAACACAGATCCAGCAGACGAACTGTATCTCAAACGTTAAGATGTTTAGGTTATACATTCATATCATATTATGAAGTTTTTTTTCCTTACAATCGGTCCATGAATCACCCCATTAAATATTGGCACGTCATTAAAGAACACCCTGTATAAAAATGAAGAGATACATAAAATTTGCCTTCTCAAGTTGAAATTTTAGATTTCTATCAGGAACTTAATATATGATTTATTTTCTAGAGGTGAGAAAAATAATTTGCGACATCTGCGGAAAAGATTTTAAGACAAAGCAGTGCCTCTATTATCACAAAAAGTATCACCACGGTAATTACAAGAAGAAGAAGAAGGACATTCACGTGAAAAAACCTAAATGTAACGTTTGCGAGAAACATTTGTCTTGCCAAAATTACTTAGATCAGCACATGCTGAGCCATACAAAAGAAAAGCCGCACAGCTGCGACATTTGTGGAGAAAAGTACGAAATATTTCACTTTTAGATTAAACAGGGTGTGCCAAAATGAGCCAATTCGGAAAAAGTTTGCGCACCCTGTATATATTGTCTGTCCAGTGAAAGAATACACGAGTTCGACAGACCACAACAATAAAAATAACGACAAGAATTGTTTAGGGTAAATATAACGGGACAACTGTCACTGTCATGTATTCTTTCGCTGGACAGACTATATTTATATACAATCTATGTAGAATTTCGCCAAGTTTTAATAAAATTCTTTTCCAGTTTCCGATTTAAAGGTAACATTAAGAGACATAAAGTCAACTGTCATGGTAGGAATGAGATGACTAGCCTCAAAACTGTTGAATCTTTATAAATTGGATTATAAGAAATATACATATTATAAGTTTTTTTACATGAAAATTATATTATTGTTTTTATTATTTCTTAATTATCAGTCTATATTAGAGATGAGACGAATATTTACAGTACTCTGGATGAGTTAAGATTAAGTTATGTCACGCTAGTTATAGTTAATTATGAATAAATAAAAATGTTAAAAAGCATTGTTTTATTTGAAAATCATTACAAGAAAGAGTTTTGCCATAAGTTTGAAATAGCTTATTAATTATTATTTATATTAGGAGCATAATATAAAAGAAGATTTCTCACTTTTAACAAAAGACGCTAAAAATAATTTTTA